ATTGGGAGTTTGGAGTCTTAATCACTGGACCACCAGGGAAATCCCTGCAGTGAGTTTTTAAATAAAGTAAAATGCATTTGATTTGAAGGAATAATTTTTTCCCCCGATTTTATATAGCCTTCTTACTTTGGGGATAAAGGTATTAAAATGTTCTTTTTCTCTCTATATGACTATAATAGTAAATAGAGCAAGTGTTATTTGTCCTTATTTGGCAGAGTAAAAAGTTGGCCAACCTAGGATAGATTCTCAAATTTACTGATCTTTGAAATCTGTCTGAGGATAATTGCTCTGCTATACAGCCTTCCTGTCCAGAAAGAAAGCATGTTTCTGCTACTCCTCATGGTTCAAAAACCCCCCACCTTGATCCACATCTCATCCTATCTTTGAAGAGGTAGCTTTTGAACTGAGCCTTTCCCAAATCCTCTCCTTCCAGCAAACCCACAGAGCATGTGTTCATACCTCTAGTTATATTTATCTCATTCTTCCTTAGGTTACAGTTATCTGTATTCTATCCACTCTTGTACCCCTTAAAGTGGTTCTAGAACAGAAGAAAGTGTTGCTGAATTGTTAACCAGTCAGTGCTTGAAGAGATCACCACCTCTGCCTATCATTTTGCAGGTGTGGAAAAGCAAAGAGCCTTGCCTCAGGCCACCCAGGGAGTCCAGGCAGAACTGAGGTCAGTCTCCTGGCTCCTTGGCACTCACTCTTTCCACTGTACCAGCCTGCTTCCCAGATGTTCCCTTTTGGTTGGCTCAGTACCTCAATTCAGAGGTGCTAGCATATGACAAACACTTCATAAATACCTGCTCATCAAGCAGTACAAAGCAGCCTGGGAACACAGGCCTCCTCTCTCTAAGGGCCCTTCGCTTTACATCATCTGCACCAAACCTTGACTCGGTGTGAGCTGCCCATCAAATGAAGAAATGGCCCCTTAGGTCCCTAGTGACCTAGATGTACAAAGATACTCTTATGGCTCAGAAATGCAGTCCCTGTAAGGCCAGAGTTCTGATCCCAGCCTTGCTGAGTAATTTTGGGTAAATGTCTTCACCTCTCCAGGTGTCAGGTGCTCCAGACAGATGGAATAATGACACGAGGAAGAAGTCCCCAAGCCTACTGGATGGTTATAAGCACTAGACAGGCTTTCCAAGAGGAGCCTCAGAGTCCTGCTTCTAGAGGCCTCTGATGACAGGGAAGGTTCCAGTCCCCCTGAGACAAATGGATGGCTCCTTTGGAACTGAGCCACAGAGTGAGTTGGGATGGTCCCTCAGATTGTGGCCACTTTTTGGGTTGCTACAGTGAAGAGTCAAAAACTCCTTGGAAACGTCCTAATCTGGGTAGACCATTTATTATTACTACTAGTATATGCAAATTTAATGCAGAAAATGGCATCATCTCTCTAAAGTCTTCCTGACCCATGGAATAGAAGAGGCCATCCCTTTCTCCCTGTCCCATTACATCCACACCAGTGTTATCACAGCTCCTAGATGGTCCAACCATACACACAGTCTTAGATATTTGTCTCCCTCTATTAGCTGTGAGCTGCTTGAAATTAGGGATCGCCTCTTACTCTTTTCTGTATCTTATGTGCTTGGTCTAGGGCCTGATAAATAAATAATAAACAAAGGCTGATCCATGTTTAGCCAGGCAAGGAAACCCCTCCACTCCTATTCTGGGACAAGGCAGCATTTAGGCCATTTAGAGTCACAGAGGCATCCAGTGCATTGGGACATGCAGAGAGAAACTGGCTAACCCAGTCACGCTGTCAGTGAAAAGGCTCTGACTAAAAGCAGTTCTTTCAACTCTCAGCTAAACTGTCTCTGGTTCTGCCACACATTAGCTGTGTAACTCTGGGCAAGATCCTTTGCCTCACCGCCCTGGCTTCCTCACTTATAAAATGGGTAAGATTAAGGTCTAAGCCTACATAATAGGATTATTTGAAGCATAAGTGAACCTGTGTAAAACAGCACAGGACCTAGGAGGAGCTCAAAACGTGTGCTTGTCAGGACTGTCATTCACTCCCAGCTGTTCTCCTTGGTAAAGGGGCACCGGCCACTCATCAGCAAAGCTGAGCTCACGCTGCAAGGAAGACTTTACAGCACTAACTTACACACTCGTCAACCCAGCAAGTTCCCCCGCAACAGTCTCTTTGGGGAAATGCCTGATCTTTTGTCACGAATCCTTCACAGCTTTCCCTTCTCCAAAGCCCTAGGCACAGTTACAAGTGTACACACACCTCACAGCAACTAGAAGCAGGGTAGCGAAACCTTGGCAAGAGCTCACCCTTTCGACTCAGACAGACTAGGTCTCAGATAACAGTTCTGTCACTTGGAGCTTTGTAGCCTTAGGTCACTCTCTCTAAGCCTCAGACTCTTCCACTTTCACATCAAAATAATCTGTTACAAGGATTATCTGAAATAGGTAATGGTCTGCTATTCCATAAATGATACTCAGAGTAATAATAGTTGTCTTGTTTTTATTTAACAAAATCCACTTGACAAAATGTCAGAAGCAGAAGGAAGCTTCGGGATCATGTCTTCTTATTTTATACCTGGGGAACTAGAGGTCCTGAGAGGAGGTATGATTGGCCCAAGGTCACTCAATGTGGTGGTAGTAGAACAAGACCTGGGACCTGGGTCTCCTGATTTTTTGCTACATGTCCATTTTAACTTGTTTGATTCTCCTTATCTGTTCCTTCCCCGAAATACAAGAAGAGGCTGGAATCACTCTCTTCCCAATTTTCTTCTCTTTATGCTCATCTTTCACCAGCCAGAACCACCTGTTTGTCAACATCATCACTCCCCAAGGCACATCTAGTTCCTTCAAGCCTGACTCAGGGAGAAGGTAAAACAACTGTTGGCCACTGGCAATAGCAATAGTAAGAGCAATAACAACAACAACCAACAACTGGCACAGTACTATACTTAACAATGCTTTTCCCTACACTGTCAACACACTCCTGCAGTTTCTCTCTAACCAAACATAATTTCCTCAAACTTATTTGATCCAACACTTACTGAGAACCTGTTTTATGCCCAGCCATGGGCTAGAGGTTGAAGACATAGAGAGAAAAAAGTCCAGGCCTCTGCTGGGAGGAGCTCACAAACTAATGGGGAAGTAGTGGAGTTGGGGAAATTTCTTATGGCCCAAATGGTGCAGCAGCAAAATGCCCTGCACTACCCTTATGGGGAGCCTTCTCTATCATGCTGTCAAGAGGCAGAATATATCTGTGGAATAAACTGCAACAAGAAGGGGTGAATGTAAAGCTGAACAGGACAGCAGGAGGGAAGATAAAGAATAGGAAATGCAGACACCAAAATCTTGACCTCCGTATCTCATGGAGATTCTAGTGAGAGACTCCTGGAGCGCAAGGGAGCAGGAGTGGGATCCAGGTGAAAACAGGAAGGCTTGGTCCCTGCCTGCCTGTCAGCAATAAGATTTTGATGCTTCTGTTCCGTAAAGGACTCTGCTCTTTGACGCCAACATTTTCCAAACCCAGTGCTGGGCTACATGTGCCTCCTTGGGACCATCATTTGCTGGAAGGATGTCAGCACCCTTGCAGCAGAAATGTTTGTACCTCTTGCTTGCTTCCTAGGCCCCTCAGCCTGGCAGCCCAGCCCACTCCAGCACACATTATCCCCTGGCAGGGAACCATCTAGGAGGATGTGGAAGAGACAGGTGGGGTCGGGGAGGTGAGAAAACACAGGACTAAGAGGAGCCACCCCTCCCCTCTTCCTCCAGTCTACCTCCCAAGTCCCATATCCCTGAGAACCTACTACGTGCCAGGTACAGGCAGTATTTTTAGTGCTTTTATATGGGTCTCATTCAGTCTTCACATCAACCCTCTGAGAAATTCTTCACAGATTTACAGATGGGGAAACTGAAGCTTGGGGGAGGGAAGTAACTTGACAAAGGTAATTCCAGTGATGGCACAGGAGATGCCAATACAGGACAGTCTGAAGCCTCCAGTTCTATAAGGCCCACATAGTCAATGCTTCCCTTGAGAAGTCCTGAGTTTAAAGAGATCAACTGAGGAAACACCAAATATTTCATAGACCCAAGTTTAAATTCTAGGTTGCTTTTAATAGAGGTGTCCCCCTGACATGTAAGAGCTGCTTGAATGGCATATTAAAATTGTACAGACCATCTAATCCAACTCCTGCGTTTAACAGACGAGCAGACAGACACCCACGCCTAAAGAATTTTAAGATGGCTACTTGGGGCCTTTGAGCAGGCTAAGGGACATCGAGAACCCCACTCTCTGGCACCTTCCCTCCCCCACCTGCCTGCAGAGATCACCTTCTTTGGGGAAGCAACTCCAGCCCACCCCACCTCCAGATGGACAGAGAAGGCGGAGGAAATAGGCCTCTCCTCAGACTGCAGGGGTGAGGGAGGGAATGTGGGACTCCCCTGGCTAGTTGGTGTCCCCAACAGCCCAGCTCCCGGCTAAGGAGCGGAAGGAGAAATTATCACATCTGGAGGAAGCTCCAGGGAGACTGAGGCTCAGAGCTCCTACTAGGGGTCAGGGGCATTTTTTTCCAGATCTACCGCAGGGCCTTGATTCTTCTCAGGAGGGGAATAAGGGAAGGAAGCAGTCATTGGCCCTTGACCTTGGGCTGGGTTTGAGGTTCCATCCTCTCGCCACCCTCAGGTACGCTTGCTCCTCTTTCAGGAAGGAAAGAGGCTTAAATGTTTGCCAAATCCTGGAACAGGAAGACAAATAGGAAAGGGGGTGGTCCCTAAAATCCCCTAAAATCGCCCACTTCGGGCATCTTCTCTGCTGCCACCAAGCATCCTCTAACTGGTGAATTTCAAGGTGGTGGCGGTGGTGGGGCGCTTAGAAGGGTGTAGGGGAATGAAGGGAGGGTAAGAATGAGTCACTGTTAACCCCTCCGCGGCTGGTGCCCTCTGAGGGATTCTACCGCAGCGAGCGGCCCCCGCCCGCAGCCCGCAGCGTTGCAGCACACGCGGCCCCCCTCCCGGCTCCGCCGAGGCCTCCTCACCTGAGTCCACTCGCCCTCCGCAGCCCCGCCGGCGGCTCTCACCGCTCCGGCCCGGCTTGGCGCAGCGCCTCTGCAGTCGCTGCTGCAGCTGCCTGGCCCAGATCAGCAACCTGCGGCGGTGGGGAAAACAGACAGGGGCGGGTGAGCGTGGGCGGGGACCCGGGGCGGTTAAGTCCCCCGGCCGCTGACAGCCGGGCCGCCGCAGCCCGAAAAGCCTGGAGGGCTGGCTGACCGCTGGGCGCTCCGGCCGCTCCCCCGCGCCTCCCCTTCCCCCACCCACACTTGGCCCTTTGGGCCGCGGCGACACCGCTGGGGCGGTGGTCCCCGGAGGTCCCTGTCATCACCTGCGGAGGCTTCCATGGCTTCGGCTGCCCTGCCCAGGCCGCCGAACTGCTCTCCGGAGCCCCTGCTGGAGGCGGCTAGCTGGGTGCTCGCCGGGGCTGGGGCTGCCGGGAGGGAGGGAGGGAGGGACAGGGAGGGTGAGGTGGATGCAGGGGACCAGCCAGTCGGCGGCTCGCCGGCAGCTGCGTAAGCGCCCCGTCTTCACTTTCCTTCTTAAAGAGATAGTTAGCATCTTGCTCCAAGAGATTTCGGGAGCGGCGATGCCAGCATGCACCGAATAGGGGTGGCCTCTCCCACTTCCACACCGGCCTGTACATAGAGCCGGTGGTGGCACCTGGCCAGAGCATATTGGCTCACTGACAGGTCGTGTGATCCTGGACTAGTCCTGTCACCTCTCTGGGCCTCAGTTTTCTCATCTGTGACATGGGATGTTGATACCAAACTCACTTCTTGTCACATGTTGGTCTTAAATAGTGATTTGATCCTAATTCCTTGAAGAATATTTTCACTCAAGTACCTCTGAGTATTTAATGCAAACAGTACTCAGACTACTTAGAAAAATGATAGTAAGAATCTTAAATATCTGAAAACAAAAAATGTTTTTCTTTGAGGTATTAAGATGGTGAATCATCAGAAAGATGGAAAGATAAAAACAATCACAACCTAAAATAAGTGTTCATTATACACCTTTCCCCTCTGTGTCTGTCTTCCATCCACTGTTACAGGGAAGAAGAGAAAAAAACAAGTGGGAAAAGTCTAGAAAACTGGACTCTCTGCCTAGCCCTTCCACTTCTAGTCCTGTAACTTTAGATAAAGTAACTTACTCTCTGGGCCTAGATTCTTATCTGCTCTATGTGTGGGAAGCTGGGTGCAATGGGAAGGTGCTCCCTCCTTCAGAACCAGCCCTAACTATCTGATCAGTAACTCCTTTATTCAAATCATCCCTCAGTTCTTCCAGTTGTTGTTTAGTTGCTAAATCGTGTCGAAATCTTTTGCGATCCCATGGACTATAGCCTGCCAGGATCCTCTGTCCGTGGGATTTTCCAGGCAAGAATACTGGTGCAGGTTGCCATTTCCTTCTTTAGGGGATCTTCCTGACCCAGGGATCAGACCTGTCTCCTGCATTGGCAGGTGGATTCTTTACCACTGAGCCACTGGGGAAGCCAGGCCTTTCTTGACCACCCTAAATAAAATAGTGACTCCCTCCTCCTTCACTTCCTCTGCCCTAGTTTTGCTGTATTTCAGCACCATATTAAATTTTTACTATTTGTAGTCTTTCATTATTACCCCCACTAGAATCTACACTTCATGAAGGTAGGGACTTTGTTTTATCTCCTGCCATATTCCCACTGCTTAGATGATGCCTGACACATATCACATGCTCAATAAATATTGACTAGGTAAATGAAAGAGTAAGCATGCATTGTGCCAAGCCCTAGTTTCTATAGAACATGAGGTCAGATGCTATCCTAGTCTCCAAGATTCCTAAGTCCTTAAGTCTCTGTCTACTCTTGGCAAGGCTTAACTTGGTACCCTTCACCCTAAGCTGACTTTTCCAGAGAAGTATTTGTAAAGTGAATTCTCTGACCTCATATCATGACTCTGCAATACTGGCCTGGTAAGAAATAGTTAATATTTACAACACATAATTATAATATTTACAATATACTATATATAATAAGAAATAATTATTTTAAGTGAACTGTTACTTTTCAGAGTTAAATCTTTTTTTGTAGCTCTGATTTGTGGTAAATCCATCATTCAGTAACAATACATATAATTTTGCAGAAAATGCCTATACATTTTTTGGCAGTGGTTATATTTCCCCCTCATTCATTTAAACTGAATTCTTCTATCAGATGGCTGTATTATATTATGCTTCGTGGAAAAATATGACAGAGCAATCATAGTAGGAATAGGAAATTGTAGTTGAAAAAGCCATGTAAATTAAGGCCTGCTGTCTAAAAAAACAAAAACCTAATGCTAAATCAGCAAGTTAATTGATGGAACATTTTATCTGCTTTAAAGTCCACCTAAATTATATAAGTGACTTACTTACACTTAAAGCAAAACCAAAGGAAGCCATGTAATTATTGTTTGTTTATCAGGAGATAATTTCTGAAATCCTCATTTAAAAATATTTTTTGTCTGTCCTCATGTTTTTTTCCTTGATACTTAAAAGACTACATTTCCCAGAAAAATCCATAAGGAACTTCACCCCCCAGAAGAGAGAGGATCTCTATCTACGTTATTGTCCTCTGGGATGGTGTTAGCTAGCAAAGACTTCTCAGCAACATAAAGCATGTGATTGAGAAGAAGATAGCCAATGTTTAGTTACAATAGAAATTGTAAGCAATCAGGATTTTAAACACAAAATGAATTATTCAAAAGAAACTAGTAGTTTTGCTTTTGTTTTGTACAAATGGAGAAATACTTAAATTTATTTATTTTCAAAAGCATTTCTGGTTCCAGTTCTGGGTAAGTACATTCCTCCCACTGAATGCCACAATAAACCTGAAGAAAATGCATGTAGCAGCTACTCGAGGACTCTGAAAATACTAGCAGGCAAAATAGGGTAAAGGATAGAATTTGACACACCACTGACTAGGGAATTTACCAATTTTGCTTCCTCTGGTATCCCCCAGTCTGGTCTCAAGGTAGCCCCAAATCTGGAATTGGGGAATCAACACACAGAAAATGCTTAGTTCTGACTTGAGGGTTAGGAAAAGAGACCCCTAATGTTCAAGGTGAGTGAGGGAAATAATTTTACTTTTATTCTCTAATCTTTTCCTTATCTCATGAGCCAGTCCTAGGAAATCCTGCAGTGGTGGCTGTGACATCTGGGACCCATAGTTCTCTAAAACTGAGGGAGGAAAAACTTCTCCAATCAGAGTAGCTGTGGGCCTGAGAATGTGAGCCCCTGCTGGTATTTGTGTTTTGTTTCTTTCTGTTCCTCCCACCATTTGGGTCCAGATACAGGTGCAATTGTGGGAAGAAGGCAGGAAACCAGAGTGGAATAAATAAAGGTACAATCTCCAGCCTTCTGGTGAACCCCAAAGAGGATGAACTAAATCATTATAAGGGTAATAATAAAAAAATAATCATTCTGGTTACTACTGAGAACTAAGAATAAAGAAAAATCTTGCAAGCAATCAGAGAAAAATTATGTGTTATTTACACAGGAATAATGATTTGAATAACTGTGAATTTCTCAACTGAAACCATGAAGGGCAGGAAAAAAATGGAACAAGAATTTTATATTGCTGAGAGAAAAGAGCAGTCAACCAGGATTCTACACACAGCAAAAATATCCATCAGGAATAAAAGTAAAATAAAGACATTCTAAGATAAAGGCAAGATAAGAAAATTTATTTTCAGCAGAGCTGCTCTGAAAGAACTGTGAAAGAAAATTCTTCAAACAGAAGGGAAATGAAATTAGAAGGAAAGTTAGAACACCAGGAAGAAAAGGACAGTAAGAATCATAAATATTTGGGTAAATTTGATAGATTATTCTCCTCTTGAATTCTTTAAAATATGTTTGACAGTTGAAAGCAAAAATCATAACACTGTCTAGTGGGTTTTCAATGTAGATAGATGTAATATATAAAACAATTATGATTACAATATAAAGTAGGAAGTCTAAAGGAACTTAAATGATACAAAGGTTCTACACTTCACTCAAGGTGGTAAAATATTGATTCTAAGTAGTGTGAAAATTTAAGAATTTAATTTTTAATCCTTAGAGTTACCATTTAAAAATATCTACAACAAAAGATATACTAAAACAAAAAAAACCAAACAGATAAATTATAATGGAATTATAAAAACAAAGTTCAGATATTCCAAAAGAAGGCAAGAAAGGAGGAAACAGAAGTGAGAAATAGAAGAAACAAACAGTAAACAAATAATAAGATGGCAGATCTAAATCCAAACATGTCAGTATTTACATTAAATGTAGAAACACATCAACTAAACAGAGATTATCAGGATGGACTTAAAAATGACTTAATTAGATGCTTTCCATAAGAAACTCACTTTAAAGAATGATGTAGGTAGGCTAAAAGTAAAATATGGGTAAAGATACACTGTAATATTAATCAAAGGAGAGCTGGAATGACTTAATATAAGAAAATGTAGACTTCAAAGAAAATAAAATTCCTAGAGACAAAGGACTCATTATACAAAAATAAAAGAGTTACTTTACCAGGAAGATATAATAATTGCAAATAATTGTAGAAGAGCTTAAAACTACATGAAGCAAAACCTGTCAGAACTGCATGGAGAAATAGATTCACAATTATAGCTGCAGACACAAACACTCCTTTTTCTGTAATCAGTAGAACTGGTAGACAGAAAATAAGCGAGGATATGGAAGGATTGAAATGCACTATTACAACTAGGTTCAACTGACATTTATAGAACACTCCACCTATCAACTACAGAACATATTGTTTTCAAGACAGACCCTATACCAGATCATAAAACAAATGTTAATAAATTTAAAAGAATCAAAATCATTTAGAGTATGTTCTCAGGTCATAATGAATAGAATAATTACATAAAGGTAACAGGAAATTCTCCCTTGAAAATTAAACAACATACTTCTAAATAATCCACAGGTTAAAGGGGAAGTTTCAAGGGAAATTAGAAAATTAACAAAACTGAAAATACAACTTATCAAAATTAGTGCAATGCAACTTAAAGCAGTGCTTGGATGGAAATAAATAGCATTAAATGTTTAAAGAAGGAAGGTCCCAAATCAATTAAGCTTCCACCTTAATAAAACTAAAAAATAAGAGAAAAACAAACTCAAAGCAAGCTGCAGGAAGGAAATAATATCACAGTAGAAATCAATGAAATTGAAAAAAGAAAAGCAAAGGAGAAAGTCAATGAAACCAAAAGCTTTGAAAAGACCAATAAAATTAATATGCCCCTAATATGACTGAAAAGAAAAAAGAAGACAGAAGTTAACAGTATCTAGAATGAAAGAGGGGTTATTACTATGGACCCTGCAGACATTAAAAGGATAATCAGGGAACATTCCAAAAAACTACACAATTTAGATGAAATGGAACAATTCTTTGGAAACCACAAACCAGTAAAACTCACCTAAAATGAAATAGATAACTGCATAGCTTTACAATTATTTAAAAAATTGAATTCATAGTTTAAAACCTTTCAAAATATAAATCTCCAGATCCAGATGGTTTCATGGGTTAATTCAACCAAACACTTAAAGAAGAAATAGTACAAATTCTGCATAGTCTTTTCACAGAAAATTAAAATAGGAAGAAACAATTTCCAAGTAATTTTTATGAGGTCAGTACCATCCTGATCCTAAGATCAGAAAGACAGTACAAGAAAAGACAAATACAGACAGACCAATACCCCTCATGAACACATATGCAAAAATCCTAAACAAAATGCTAGCAAATCCATATGGAAAGATGCTTAACATCATTAGTTATTAGGAAAATGGAAATCAAAACCATGAGATATTACTTAAAACTCACTGCTGCTGCTGCTGCTGCTAAGTCGCTTCAGTCATGTTCGACTCTGTGCGACCCCATAGACGGCAGTCCACCAGGCTCCTCTGTCCCTGAGATTCTCCAGGTAAGAATACTGGAGTGGGTTGCCATTTCCTTCTCCAATAGGATAGCTATAATCAAAAAAGGGGGCAATAACAAGTACCGGTGAAAATATAGAGAAATTGGAACTCATACATCGTTGGTAGAAATGTAAAAAGGCACAGATACTTTGTAAAACAGTTTGATAATGCCTTTAACGCTGCTGCTGCTGCTAAGTCGCTTCAGTCATGTCTGACTCTGTGCGACCCCATAGATGGCAGCCCACCAGGCTCCTCTGTCCCTGAGATTCTCCAGGCAAGAATACTGGAGTGGGTTGCCATGTCCTTCTCCAATGCATGCATGCATGCTAAGTCGCTTCAGTTGTGTCCGACTCTGTGCGACCCTATGGACAGCAGCCCCCCGCGCTCCTCTGTCCATGGGATTCTCTAGGCAAGAATACTGGATTGGGTTGCCATTTCCTTCTCCAAATTCCTTTAATAGTTAAACATGAAATTATCATTTGACTCAGAAATTCTACTCCTATGTATATATCCAAAAAAGATTAAAACATATATACACAAAAACTTGTAACTAACAAACTCTTGTTCACAGCAACATTATTCATAATAGTAAAAAATGGAAAAAACAACAATAAAATGGAAACAAGCCACATCTACCAACTGATGAATGGATAAACAAAACAAATATCCATATATTGGAATATTAATTTATCCATTAAAAGGAATGAAGTACAGATATATTCTATAACATAGATAAATGCTGGATCATAGAAAAAGCAAGAGAGTTCCAGAAAAACATCTATTTCTGCTTTATTGACTAAGCCAAAGCCTTCGACTGTGTGGATCACAATAAACTGGAAAATTCTGAAAGAGATGGGAATACCAGACCACCCGACCTGCCTCTTAAGAAACCTGTATGCAGGTCAGGAAGCAACAGTTAGAACTGGACATGGAACAACCGACTGGTTCCAAATAGGAAAAGGAGTACGTTAAGGCTGTATGTCGTCACCCTGCTTATTTAACTTATATGCAGAGTGCATCATGAGAAACGCTGGGCTGGAAGAAGCACAAGCTGGAATTAAGATTGCCAGGAGAAATATCAATAACCTCAGATATGCAGATGACTCCACCCTTATGGCAGAAAGTGAAGAAGAACTAAAGAGCCTCTTGATGAAAGTGAAAGGGGAGAGTGAAAAAGTTGGCTTAAAGCTCAACATTCAGAAAATTAAGATCATGGCATCTGGTCCCATCACTTCATGGCAAATAGGTGGGGAGACAGTGGAAACAGTGTCAGACTTTATTTTTTGGGGCTCCACAATCACTGCAGATGGTGATTGCAGCCATGAAATTAAAAGACGCTTACTCCTTGGAAGGAAAGTTATGACCAACCTAGACAGCATATTAAAAAGCAGAGACATTACTTTGCCAGCAAAGGTCTGTCTGGTCAAGGCTATGGTTTTTCCAGTAGTCATGTATGGATGTGAGAGTTGGGCTATAAAGAAAGCTGAGTGCCGAAGAATTGATGCTTTTGAACTGTGGTGTTGGAGAAGACTCTTCAGAGTCCCTTGGACTGCAAGGAGATCCACCCAATCCATCCTAAAGGAAATCAGTCCTGGGTGATCTTTGGAAGGACTGATGTTGAAGCTGAAACTCCAATATTTTAGCCACCTGATGTGAAGAGCTGACTCATTTGAAAAGACCCTGATGTTGGGAAAGATTGAGGGCAGGAGAAGAAGGGGACATCAGAGGATGAGATGGTTGGATGGCATCACCGACTCAATGGACATGAGTTTGGGTGAACTCCGGGAGTTGGTGACAGACAGGGAGGCCTGGTTCATGGGGTCGCAAAGAGTAGGACACGACTGAGAGACTGAACTGTAACTGTAACAGGGTATAAAATTAACCTGCAAAAGTCAACTTTATTATAATGACAAAATTATGAAGATGGAGAACAGGCTAAACGTCTTCAGGGGCTAGGGAAGAAAGTAAGGAAGGAAGTGGCAGTAGCTACAAAAAAGTAACACAGGTGATTCCTGTGAAGGAACTGTTCTATTTCTTGACTGTGGTGATGGTCACATGAAGCCACCTATGTAATACAATTGCATAGAACTAAACACACACAAACAAGTGAGTGCATGTAAAACTGGTGAGATATGAACAAGGTGAGTATACTGTATCAATGGTTCAGTTTCCTGATACTCTACTATAAATACGTAAGATGTTACCATTGGGGAAACTGGGTGAAGGGTATATAGGATCCGTATTGTTTTTTACAAGTTCATGTGAACCTACAGTTATCTCAAAATAAAAAAGTAAACAAAAAGTCAACTGGAACTCACATACATTGCTAATAGGAATGCAGAAAGGTACATCTGGAAAATAATTTGTTAATTTCTTATAAAGTTAAACATGCACTGGCCATATGACCCAAGTCTAGGTATTCACTCAAGAGAATTAGAAACTTATATTCACACAAAAACTGTACACAGGTGTATTCAGCAGCTCTATTATTAATTGTTAAACAATTTAAGTGTCCTTCAGGAGTTAAATGGATACATAAACTGTGGTATATCCAGACAACAGAATACTACTTAACAATACATAGGATTGAACCCCTGATACATGCTACAATTTGTACTAATCTCAAAGATAGAATGCAAGAAGTCAGTATGAAAAAAGGTTACTTACTATATAATTCCATTTGTATGACATTCTTAAAAAGATAAAACTATAGTCATGTAGAAGAGTAGTTACCAGGAGCTAGAATGGGGGAAGGGTATGACTATAAAGGGTTAGTACAAGGGATTTTTTTGGTACCCTGGTTCTGATAGTGATCACAGGAATCTATACCTGTAAAATTCATAGAACTGTGCACTAAAATAAAAAAGTCAATCTTTCATTTGTTAATTAAAAATTAAAGGAAATTTTTAAGAAGGCAATTTTGACATATAAAACTTATAGTTTATAATGTATAGACTAATATATAGTTAATACATTCAAAGGGGCCATTTAGAATTTAGTCTGCAGCATAATTCCAGATACAATAGTATGGAGCTCACAGAGCAGTACATGAAAATTTCTTAACTCAAACTTCAACTAGGAAAAAAGAAGCTTTGGTTTTAATGTCAAAAATGCTCAGTATACACCATATAAAGAACATGTATTTTAGTTACATTTATGTGAATTATAGCTGAAAACAACATGCTGAATAAACATCCATTAATTTTTTCTAATGTTAGTTTTTCTGATACATAAATGATAGCCATAATAACCATTAATAGTAAATAAACAGGTTGCATGACCTATAATTAGCCTAAAGCCATATTATATTAGACTCAGATAATTTGAGACTAAGAAAAATTTTATAACTCTTTGATTAAGATATTAGATTAAAAGCCAGGGCATTATATCAAATCAAGAGTGATATGTGTTATAATCAAATAAATTATTATCTGTGGTGAAATAAGAAAGTGTTAATTATTAGTTACTAATATTTATTAATAATTAATAATTATTAAATTATAAAATTTAAGTAAATAATCCACTTTATAAAAATCCTTGAAGACACAATGTATTTTTAAAATGTATCCTAAATGCAACATTCAAGTCAAGGAAATGGTAAATGATATGCATTCAAGTCAACTAAGTTAAAAATATTACTTAGCTACAATTATATCTGGAAGCATATAGGTTTCTAATTATGTCTATGATTATTCTGAACTTACAAACAGGAAATATGAGCTCAACCTATCTACAAAATGGATCAGACCTTCAGCTGCTTCCAGACGGCTTTTGCATTAAACTGAACAATCTATACAGAAATTCCAATGATGACATAAATCTGCATGTTCTGGATTTCCTTCACATTTTATGGAACATTGGTCCCACTGTAGCTATAATATCTGCATAGGGAGCACTCTGGCTCAGCTCAATAGCCTGCTGTTTTTTTAGGACAAGAAAGCTATAAAATTTGGCAGCAGTTTGTTTTCGGTCACTATTTCTGCAGAGCTTCATCAGACTAAAGTACTGCATTCCCATCTTGTTGGATTCCTGGGAAAACAATTATAAAAGAGGAAAGGGAAATAAGATCATTAGAAACAAAGCAGGCTGTGGATGTATAATGAACAACAAATATTGGTATTTTTGATAAGTGACTGAAATTCTTAAATGGAGAAATGCAAATGATTCATTAGAACATAAAAAAACAGGTCGTTGAGCACAGCTTGGTTCATTGAGAAAATAAACGCAAAAGAACTCTAAAGTGTTACACAAATTTCTAATGTGTTATACAGATGTTAGGTCTATTGATGTTAACATAAATGACCCCTGCGGAAAGTGCAATTAATTGAGACTTGCAGGCAGAAAAAAGTCCACAGGACCTTGGGAATCTTAAAAAATAACGATTATCAGCCCATCAGGATTATTTTATAGGTACTGCAGTGTGGAGTTAACTAAACAACTCTAGTGGTAAATGTAATGGCAGGGGAATATCACTAAATAAACATCTCCCAGTTTCTTTGCACAGATTAAAAAGACATTGGTTCACTACATTAGTTCACTTGAAAAACTGAGGTACAATAAAATATTTAATTAGACTGCACTTGGAATCAGATTTATAGAGTAGGAGTATTATGTTTTAGTTAGAAATACTATGGTGAATACTGACCAGTATCCCTGTGACTATTGTACTAATTTGGTAGCTGTGAAGCATTTTTTTTTTAAAGACCATATAAAAGGGTCTTTTTTTTTTTTTTTTTGCCAGTCCATAACATTTAACTGGGGACTCAGATGGTAAGGAATCTGCCTGTAATGCATGAGACACAGGTTCAGTCCTTGGCTTGGGAAGATCCCCTGGAGAAGGGAATGACTCTACCCACTCCAGTATTCTTGCCTGGAGAATTTAATGGAGAGAGGAGCCTGGTGGGCTACAGTACGTGGGGTCACAAAAAGTCGGACACAAGTGAGCAACCAAGACTAACTTTTAACAAATTGACAAGTTAAATATTTTATCATACTTTAATCTCAACCAAAGGAGTAGCACAGTGTCAGCAACCTTTGAGATGGCAATGCCAAGCCTTCATTTATTCCCTCTCTTTGGAGGAGACAAGATGTGGATTGGTTGGTTTTCCCCAGGGAGAGAGCAGGGACAGCCTTGTAAATTTCAAGAATCCTTTTGAAAAACACCCTGAGAGGATTATTCTGTTTCCTCCAGGAGCTCCTCTAAAATGAAGGTAAAGAAATAAAGGAAGAAGAGAAATACAAAGTAGAAGACTTATCAGACGTAGAGAAAGCTGAAACCTAAATGCCAGTAGAGAGAATAGCCAGCAAAAGACACAGATACAGAACCTAAACCTTGCTTATGGAAAGCATTTTAGGAACTTACTTGGAGAACAAGAATTTTTGAGGAATGTAGTAACCTCTAGACTGAGATTAGTGAACTGCAACATCCAATGGATTTTCAGCCTCGAGCCAGCCCTGCTTACTTCTGACTGGCCAGACCCTATGACCCAAATTGGCATGTGCCAATTCCTTAATCAATCTTGCTCCTTTCGTTTCTCATGACTAATAGGGATTTTACACAATTCAGTGGTTTTTGTATGCCAATCAAAAAACTCACTAGTTTGTCTAAAGTCTGAAGTCAGGGGAGATTCTGTCAGCAGCCAAGGACCTCTCAGTTCATTCCCGAATGGGTTTTTCCTCAAACTGCAACTCAAAGCTTCACATCTGTCTTCCTCTCCCTATAGAGTTTATTTGTGCCACTAAATGTGTAAATGTATATAGACAGAACTTTACTTTCCCTCTAGCTTCTCTAATTTTTTAATATATTTTACAGTGTCTATTATATCACATTGTTAAAGCCAGTCATCTATTTATCTTTACATTTCAAAAATCTGGACGTAAGGCCAGCATTTACTTATGCTCAGTATTTAATGGTGAAATTTGAGTGTAAGTACAATAAAACATGAAAACTGTGGGAAAAAAGCATTTCCACCAGTGAAAACCTTCCCATGAGAACATGCCTCTTGAAAAGGATCTCCTTCATCCTTCTCCGAAAGAGGAGAAGAGGAAACACGAGAAGAAGCACTTGGTCCAGAGCCCCAATTCCTACTCTATGGATGTGAAATGCCCAGGATACTATAAAATCACCACCGGCTCTACCCGTGCACAAACACTAATAGTTTTGTGTGTTGGCTGCTCCTTGTTCTTGCCACCCTACAGGAATAAAATCAAGGCTTACTGAAGGATGCTGCTTCAGACAGAAGTAACACCAAAGAATCCAAAATCAAGATGAGTGGGAAACCATCCCAACAAACACATTTGAATAAAACAGAAACAAAATCCCTAAATGAAACAAAACCTAGGAAAAACTCAGTGATTATAGGCAGCAGTATGTCATAAGCTAGAAACAAGTGTGAAGTTAAAAACATGAGAATTCCTTAAAAGGCTACTTGGAAACAATTAGACCCTCAGGTTTACTCCACCACCTCACAGAGCCAGGAGACCATTAGTTGTCTTTCTGGAGATACCAACCATAAGGTTTTATACTTGGGATATGAGGCACTGTGGATAGTGGAGAAGTGTTACAAACTGGGGGATTAAGAGAAATTCTAATTTCTAAACAGTGAGACTGCCAGCTTTTCCCTTACACTCTTTTGATTCCTCAACCATGGACGTCATGCTTATATCTTCTAGACAATAGATCTGACCATGAAAAAATAGGCCATTCCAAGGGAAAAAAAAAATTCTATAGATAATGACATCTGTGTGCGTATGTATTGGCAGGGGTGGGGACACCCAAAATTATCGTGCTATGAAGACAACAAGGCTATAAGCCCCACTCATGCTTATATAACCTCCAATCAGCTTTTTGTTGTCTCATTCTTAAATAAAAACCAAAGATCTATTAAACACTTGGATAAAATTTCTAATATCTAAGAGAATCACTAAGGAAACAGACAATGTGGGCAGTAGAAGAAAGCTATAACCTCTGAAAATTAAGAGAAGATACCATCCACAAAAAATGATTAGGATGCTATTGAAAGAAAACAGATCAGTGGTTGCTGGGGTCTGGGTGAGGGGGACCAGTGGGGAAGGTGAAACAAGGGATTATCAAGAGACACAAGGAAACTTCTGGAGATTATAGATATGTTCACTATCTTGACTGTGGTGAGAGTTTCCATTGGTATACACATACATCAAAATTTATCTAACTGTATATTTTTAAATAGGTGTGGTTTATTGTTATGTTAATCATACTTCAATAAAACTATTAAATATAAATAAATAGATTGTGAAAGTCACTCAGTAGTGTCCGACTCTTTGTGACCCCATGGACTATACAGTCCATGGAATTCTCCAAGCCAGAATACTGGAGTGGGTAGCTGTTCATATGCTATAAAATAAAATAATTTAAAAATAAAATAATTAATAAAACAAAATAATTAAAAACCGAGAAAAAAACTCCTGGAAAACAAAAAAATTCAATAAAGATGAGGGTAAAGCTGAAGAAATCTTCTAGAGAGCAATAAAGAACTATGGATGGAGGTTCATGACATTGTACGGGGGTCAGGAATCAAGACCATCCCCAAGAAAAAGAAATACAAAAAGGCAAAATGGTTGTCTGAGGAGGCCTTACAAAGAGCTGTGAAAAGAACAGAAGCGAAAGGCAAAGGAGAAAAGGAAAGATACACCCATTTGAATGCAGAGTTCCAAAGAACAGCAAGGAGAGATAGGAAAGCTTCCTCAGTAATCAGTGCAAAGAAATAGAGGAAAACAATAGAATGGGAAAGACTAGAGATCTCTTCAAGAAAATTAGAGATACCAAGGGAACACTTCATGCAAAGATGGGCTCAATAAAGGACAGAAATGGTATGGACCTAACAGAAGCAGAATATATTAAGAAGAGGTGGCAAGAATACACAGAAGAACTATACAAAAAAGATCTTCCCGACCCAGATAATCATGATGGTGTGATCATGATGTCTGGCTCTAGCCAGACATCCTGGAATGCAAAGTTAAGTGGGTCTTAGGAAGCATCACTAAGAACAAAGCCAGTGGAGGTGATGGAATACCAGTTGAGCTATTTCAGACGAGATCAGGCGCGTTCAGGGTGGTATGGCCGTAGACAACTTGAACTATTTCAAATCCTAAAAGATGATGTTGTGAAAGTGCTGCACTCAATATACCAGCAAATTTGGAAAACTTAGCAGTGGCCACAGAACTGGAAAGGGTCAGTTTTCATTCCAATCCCAAAGAAAGGCAATGCCAAAGAATGCTTAAACTACCACACAATTGCACTCATTTCACATGCTCCAAAGTACTGCTCAAAATTCTCCAAGCCAGGCTTCAACAGTACGTGAACCGTGAATTTCCAGATGTTTAAGCTGGATTTAGAAAAGGCCGAGGAACCAGAGATCAAACTGACAACATCTGTTGGATCATTGAAAAAGCAAGAGAGTTCCAGAAAAACATCTACTTCTGCTTTACTGGCTATGACAAAGCCTTTGACTGTGTGGATCACAACAAACTGAAAAATTCTTCAAAAGGTGGGAATACCAGAGCACCTGACCTGCCTCCTGAGAAATCTGTATGCAGGTCAGGAAGCAACAGTTAGAACTGGACATGGAACAACAGACTGGTTCCAAATAGGAAAAGGAGTACGTCAAGGCTGTATATTGTCACCCCTCTTATTTAACTTATATGCAGAGTACATCATGAGAAATGCTGGGCTGGAGGAAGCACAAGCTGGAATCAAGACTGCCGGGAGAAATATCAATAACCTCAAATATGCAGATGACACCACCCTTATGGCAGAAAGTGAAGAAGAACTAAAGAGCCTCTTGATGAAAGTGAAAGGGGAGCGTGAAGAAGTTGGCTTAAAGCTCAACATTCAGAAAATTAAGATCATGGCATCTGGTCCCATCACTTCATGGCAAATAAGTGGGGAAACAATGGAAACAGTGTCAGACTTTATTTTTTTGAGCTCTAAAATCACTGCAGATGGTGATTGCAGCCATGAAATTAAAAGACGCTTACTCCTTGGAAGGAAAGTTATGACCAACCTGGATAGCATATTTAAAAGCAGAGACATTACTTTGCCAACAAAGGTCTGTCTGGTCAAGGCTATGGTTTTTCCAGTAGTCATGTGTGGATGTGAGTTGGGCTATAAAGAAAGCTGAGTGCTGAAAAATTGATGCTTTTGAACTATGGTGTTGGAGAAGACTCTTCAGAGTCCCTTGGACTGCAAGAAGATCCAACCAGTTCATCCTAAAGGAGAGCAGTCCTGGGTGTTCATTGGAAGGACTGATGTTGAAGCTGAAACTCCAATACTTTGGTCACTTCATGCGAAGAGATGACTCATCGGAAAAGACCCTAATGCTGGGAAGGATTGGGGGCAGAAAAGGAGAAGCGGATGACAGAGGATGAGATGGCTGGATGGCATCACCGACTCGATGGACGTGGGTTTGGGTAGACTCTGGGAGTTGGTGATGGACAGGGAGGCCTGGTGTGCTGCGATTCATGGGGTTGCAAAGAGTTGGACACGACTGAGCAACTGAACTGGAGTGAACTGACTGATATAGCTTATAAAAAATTTCACTATAGAGTAATTTGTCCTCAACAAGAACACAGTGAAAATAGTTTTATTTTTATTAATATCTAGAGGATTGAACTCAACTTTTTATTTATTTTTAAAACTAAAAACAGTGTTGATAAACCCTATCAAGTCTTACCTGCAAACTATGTAACATCTGAAGTATTCTTAAATTCCATCTTTCTGCTTCAATGCTTTGTTCATTCCCCCATGATTCCTGTTTGAATAATTGACAAAATATTTCCTTTAATCAAAATTTACTGAATGTTTACTATCTGCCAACCATAGTGTAGAAGGAAATACAAGACACACAACCATTAACACGGGGTCCTGCCAAATAAGGAGGTTATCATCTGCAGTTGAGAGAATAAGACTAACAAACAGATACAGCTCAGTTTTTATATCCTGATATCTATGCTCCCAGGCTATCTTCTGACAAGGGGCTCCAGAGTAGGAGATTCTGCATCTGTATTGGTGATGTGTCCCAGGCATTGTGCCCTTACTTTTAAAAGTAAAGATGACCACTTTTGGCTAGGACTGTCTCAGATCTGGTCAATCTGAACTCAGATGACAGGAGTAAACATAAAGCTAGAGAAGAACTGCACTGTAAAGATCTTTATTTGAATTTATCTGGTGGTATAAAGGTTCTAACAATAACTGATGTTTAGTGAGTTGTGTCCAATTGGGTTAGGAACCTTTCAAATTTCAAGGGTGCCTTGTCCAAAAAAGATCAACACATTGCCTTTCAGGTTATGTGAAGAGATCCAACTTTTCAATCTTCTTTTCAGTTTTTAGTCACTTGCAGAAAGACTGTAATATTTAAAAACTGTAGACTTGAAATCCCTTCACAGGAACTCACTCTAAGTTTCCTTACCAACTAACAACTTATAAACTGAGAACAGAACTGAGCATAGAAAGGTGCTGATAAGTCTGATAAAAAAGCATGCCTGCAAAAGGTCTGGGGGTGGGTGGGCATGGGCAAGTGGCACAGATTTGACCTATTAATACTTTATAATTTTTCCTATGTTATCTCTGTTATCATGCAACCTAACAGCTTCTGTGTTACCCTTATCACAGCTCCACTGTTTGTCAAGCTTTCATGTATACCTCTGGAGCCCAGACACTTCCTAACAGTGCTTTCAATTTCATCGACTCCAAGATGACTTCAGAAAGCTTCAGAATATCCTATATGATATTTTAAATCATTTAAGGCTAAAGGGACTGCCAAGTCCCCAATCCTGCCAGCTGCACTGGCTTCCTGGTTCTGCCTATACAGTATCCTTTCTTACATTTCAAAGAGACTGATCTGAAAATATGGTCAATATTATTCTGAAGAGTTTTCTAAATTCTTCTAGGTAAAATTTAAGTTTATTCCCTACTGGTTTATTCTGGGATAAATTAGTTCACCCATTACTAATGTTTTATTTTATTGTTAAATACACAAAAGCTATATTTCAAATGTGAAAAGTAATGGCCCAACTCCTTGTTAAAGACCGATGAGACTGCAGCTTCACCTATATTGCACAACTAAACTAACCAGGAAAACCTCAGAAAAAGTCGTCTGTGCACTTTGCTGAAGCCTGTCTACTTGATCTATCTGGATATCCTACAGCTGAGTCCATTGTGTGGAAAGCCTAGTTGACTATTAAAACAGTTGAACTTGTGCTGTCTTATGCTTTTCTTGACCAAATGTGAAAATATCCTGTGTCTAGAAGCAAAGAGAAAGGTGAAAGTGACTCAGCTCTCTTCTGGTTCAGCTGTTTGGACGTTTCAGGTAAAAATTTCGGGTATTTATTCTGTCCTAGATTATCCAGAGAATTCAGTCATATGAAAAAAACCCAATTTAATAGACTTGGAACTCATTATAAAGATAATTTATCTGGAAACAAACTAACACTAGGCATTAGTAGGTGCTTCAATATTATTTACCAAGAAACTTTCTGTCAAAATTTATTATAATCTTAAAAATGCCTTCAGCACTGTGGGACAGCGATTATAGAAAGGAGACAGTAATCTCTGTGGAGTCAGGTGAGTCAGATATTAGCTCGGGCTTTGCTATTGACTTGTGGTCCTCTGTACAGACCATCCCCTTTGAACCTTTTATTCCTTTACCCGAAGTTTATGCTTTAATCTTCAATTCCATTCTTATTCTATTTCCACAAATGGTGAACAGATAAGAAATACAGTCAGGAATGGGAAATGGTCAGTAAAGACCATTCCCTTTTTCTGATCTCTAGAAGTCAGAACATTTTTTTCATTTGAAAAATGAAATTTCAAATGTTTTAAGGCATACCCCTGATACAGCTCTGTTTCTTTAGAGATGTTTTAAGAATAACTTTAAAAAATGACTCAACATTTTAACCAGGACTATATTTGATAAGCATAAAAATCTCATACCTTTAAAAACATTACTTAAAATTTCAAAATAAATCAAAGAAAGAATAAAAGATCAAAGCAACTTTACATATGCTCTGTCAAGCTAATCATACACATCTTTGTTAAGATCACAAATTAAACTGTAATTTTAGAAAGTAACATGACAGCTAAAAATAATTTTGGGGTAAATAAGGTGTTAACTATTTAGGAACAAAGTTTTAAAGAACATTCTCAAGACTATACATCTATTTACCAATTCCATTGGACAATTTTCAATTTCCTGTGCCAAGATGGCATTCATTGAAGATGATTCCTCAGCAGCTGAAGACACCATTTCAACAATATCCTGCTAAAGCAAATTAGGGAAATATAGGTAAGTCATCACAGTAGTAGTAGTCATCACAGGAACAATCTCATTTTGTTAAATGATTTAATCACATGGATGCTCATTTCTAAAACTAATTTAAAATACTATCTGCATTCTCAAAATATCATTTCTGAAATATCCCAGACTTAAATATTCTTGTTTTCTTTATGCCTCCCACACATGAAGAAATTGCATGTTCTGCCCTCCTTGCTTTTTTCCTCCTATATCTTATTCCTATATCCTATATTATATCTTATATTCTTGTTCTTCCAATATCTTTTTCCTTCTATTTCTGTCACTACCACAAACCTCATATCAAAAGTCTCTGCTGCTGTGCATCTGAGACCATTTCTTTTGAAGCAGTCTGTCCTTGCCCTAGTCCCCTACCTTTATTTTCATGCCAGAACAAGGTAGCAGAGGAAGAACTGTAAGCAGAGGAATGAGAATGGGAGAAGCACTGCTAATATCCCTTTCTAGGGGTATGACAGGATTCCTGTCACTGCTGCTGGAGCTGCCAATGGCAAGAGGGAAGAAAAACTGTGTCCGCTGGAAGGGAAGTGGAAGAAGAGAAATTCTCCATTCCCCACTGCTTCTTCCTCACTGCTATAGAAGCTGTTGGCCCCCTTTTCATCTTCAACCTATCTCCAAGCTTCATTCCCCAGCTGTCATCTATGATTGTGATTAAGTTAGAAGCTTCCTACAATATAGCTTACTTGACTTTTCACTTTAGCTTTAAAAATTTTGCATGACTATCAGTCCAGTTTAGTTCAGTTGCATGAGTATAACGGGGTGCATTTGATTCTTTAATATACATGTTTGCGGAGCCCTATCATGTTTTCCCTTTTAATTTCTGTGAGTATTCCACATTTTAGACAGTTTCTATTATGCAGTTAATCTACATAAAAATTGTTTGAATTTTTGAAAGATTTGAAAATGATTAATCAGAATCAACATTTTTCTGTGTATTCAAATTAACTGTGATCCCATTCCTGACTATATTTCTTATCTGTTCACCATTTCTGAAAGTAGAATAAGAAAGGAATTGAAGGCTAAAGCATAAATTCAGGTAAAGGAAGAAAGAATGTTCAAACTACTGCACAACTGCACTCATCTCACACGCTAGCAAAGTAATGCTCAAAATTCTCCAAGCCAGGCTTCAACAGTATGTGAACCGTGAACTTCCAGATGTTCAAACTGGATTTAGAAAAAGCAGAGCAACCAGAGATCAAATTGCCAACATCTGTTGGATCATAGAAAAAGCCAGAAAATATCAGAAAAAAATATGCTTTATTGACTGTGCTAGAGCCTTTGACTGTGTAGATCACAACAAACCGTAGAAAATTCTTCAAGAGATGGGAATATCAGACCATCTCACCTGCCTCCTGAAAAATCTGTATGCAGGTCAAGAAGCAACAGTTAGAACTGGACATGGAACAACAGACTGGTTCCAAACTAGGAAATGTGTACGTCAAGGCTGTATATTGTCACCCTGCTTATTTAACTTCTATGCTGTTAAGTCACTTCAGTCATGTCCGACTCTGTGTGACCCCATAGACGGCAGCCCACCAGACTCGCATCAGGCTATGCATCATGCAAAATGCTGGGCTGGATGATGCACAAACAGGAATCAAGGTTGCTGGGAGAAATATCAATAACCTCACATACTCAGGTGATGCCACCCTTATGGCAGAAAGCAAAGATGAACTAAAGAGATTCTTGATGAAAGTGAAAGAGAGTGAAAAAGCTTGCTTAAAACTCAACATTCAAAAAACGAAGATCATGGCATCTGGTCCTATGACTTCATGGCAAATCGATGGGGAAACAGTGGAAACACTGAGAGACTACTTTCTTGGGTTCCAAAATCACTGCAGATGGTGACTTCAGCCATGAAATTAAAAGACACTTGCTCCTTGGAAGAAAAGCTATGACCAACCTAGACAGCATATTAACAAGCAGAGACATTACTTTGCCAACAAATGTCTGTTTAGTTAACGCTATGGTTTTTCCAGTAGTCATGTATAGATGTGAGAGCTGGACTATAAAGAAAGCTGAGCATTGAAGAACTGGTGCTTTTGAGCTGTGGTGTTGGAGAAAACTCTTGAGGGTCCCTTGGACTGCAAGGAGATCCAACAGTCAATCTTCAATCCTGAATATTCATTGGAAAGACTGATGATAAAGCTGAAACTCCAATACTTTGGCCACCTGATGTGAAGAACTGACTCCTTGGAAAAGACCCTGGTGCTGGGAAAGATTGAGGGCAGGAGCAGAAGGGGACAACGGAGGAGGAGATGGTTGGACGGCATCACCAACTCAATGGACATGAGTTTGAGCAAACTCTGGGAGTTGGTGATGGACAGAGAAACCTGGTGTGCTGCAGTCCATGGGGTCAGAGAGAGTTGGACATGACTGAGTGACTAAACTGAACTAAAAGTAACATTGGGAAAATATTGGAAAGCACATCGTTTCCAACTATATTTTTAATAAATATGTTTTTCAAATAGAAATTAAAAATAATTTTATTGGTAATGGATCTTTAGATATTCTTTCAGATTCAAGACTGGGCTTCCCTGGTAGCTCAGCTGGTTAAGAATCCGCCTGCAATGCAAGAGACCCCGGTTTGAATCTTGGGTCAGGAAGATCCCATGGAGAAGGGATAGACTATCCACTCCAGTCTTCTTAGACTTCCCCGGTGGCTCAGCTGGTAAAGAATCTGCCTGCAATGCGGGAGATCTGGGTTCGGTCCCTGGGTTGGGAAGATCCCCTGGAGAAGGGAATGGCTACCCACTCTAGTATTCTGACCTGGAGAATTCCATGGACTATATAGTCCATGGGGACGCAAAGAGTCGGACATGACTGAGCGACTTTCACTTTCACTTCAGATTCAAGACCGAGGTAATTGGTGGATCTAACACATATTATTCATAGAGGTAGGAAGGGTGAATTTATGAATAGAAGGAAAACATGGGCATATTTCTTTTTAATAGGTGTATTGTCTAGAGTTTTTAAGGATTCCTTGATATATTGAATGTGAAGCCTCAGCATATGACCAGGTTCAGGTATAATAATTTATTCAGTGTACCATGCAAAATACTATTTCAGTATGAAACTACTTATCTTATGATTTACTATAATATCTTAAACTTCTAGAAAAACTGTTTTGGATGGAAATTATGTATTACCCTGCAGTACTGCTGCATACTAAAGAAGATATAGAGTAACATAAGATGAAATATAAACTATAAATGTAAGAAGATAAACCAGAGTCTCAATTTTCTTTCACTATAAATGTCAGGAAGATAATATTTTTATGATTCTCTTTGATTAACTTACATCAGAGTTAATGTTTTTATTGGTATCCTCATGAGAACTACATTTTGATCCATCAGTCACTTCCTTCCAAGTTTTAGGTTGACTTAACTCTTGCAGGAAATTTGGCTCTTCCATCGTGGAGGTCTCTGAATTGTTAAGGAAGTAAAAAAGATTTCACCAAAGTATCTTTCAAACTTAAAACTGGAATATGGTTTTTACAAAAGAAAAGTTTTGACAGACAACTTAGAATCCACGAATTTAAGGATGCACAAGCTTTCTTATAGCACCCCAAGTCTCACATATTTATTTTACCTTTCCCCTCATTTGCCTCTTTATCACCTCTACTACATGTTCCACCAACTATCTCCTCCACACTCGCTCCCACACATTCAACTCTCAAGACAACATGGATAGTTTAAGCCCATCTTGGTATACTGTTCAGCAGATTTTAATGCCTTCAGGAAGCAGGAGTTCACTCACCACAATAATAAGTTGGTTTTATTATTCCTTTATAGTAGTCACAATAATAATTATTACTATCTCATGTCTTTTCTGGGGGATAGAAATATCTCTGTCTTAGGTTAACAGTATTGTTTAAATGCTATTCTTATCAAGTGATTTCTCAGGTTAGTTGTCTTAAAGTGATATATTATCCTGCTAGATATAAAACATTTCTTTATCAAAGGCTTGTGAGTACTGGCTTTGAGGGTAGGGGAGGTAGGAAAGAGTGAGATTAAGAATAGCCCACAAAGTATACATACTTCATCTTTTTAAGGTGGTTTGTTGGACAAAAATTAATTTGCACATAGAAAAATGCAATGCTGATTTAACAATTTCTTTTAAGTTTAAGTATTCTTCTAAGAGCATTTACATTTGGGAATATGGAATTAGATCCCATCATTATTTTGAAATGTAAAATCAAATTTTTGTTTCTACAACATTCCCTTCAACACCAACAGAATTAGGATGTCTCACCTACTATATTTTCACTTCTCATTTCTTCCCTTACTGACTCCTTCTGTATCAATTTTCTTCCAAGTTTAAAGCCAGAGGACACAAAGCATTTTGTAAACAACTGTAAAAATATACACTTTTTCTCATTTTTTGTACAAGTAAAGCAATTCAACAAAATACAAGCACATATGCTAAAAAGTAAAAACTATAATTCATGTACATATATTGAGCAAATTAATTCAAAAGTAAGGGGGTATTTTTTCACGGGTTTAAATTCTGTTGCATATATGAATATAAATATGTATTTATTTATCACCAAACATTTCACCCATGTAAAAGTATGGAAACTGTTACCATTTTCAGTTTAGCATGAGTCAAATCCTGGGCAGCAGTTGACAGAAGTGTATCTGCTCCTCCCTTTTGCTTCCACATCATCAATCTTTGGGTAGGAGGTGCAAGTTCCAAAACCATGAGTGTGTCCGTAAAGGAAGTAAGCTGTCTATGCATAATTTTGCTACTGATCTCCTTGACTGGATCTATGAGCAATTTCCTGTTTTTGCCTTTTCTTTTTTCAGCAATATCTAAATATAAGAAATACATACAAATGTGATAGGTTGTACAGCTCTGTAAAATGATATTCTAGGCACTGCATATCTCAGAAATGTCTAACACAATACACCCTACAGAGTTGCCTTAAGAAAAATCCCCTTCTTTCTACTGAAAATTATCCTTTTAAGGTTTTTGCACAGCTAGTGTGTCTCAGCAACCAAGGGTTAACACATTTTGTAAACTGCTTGGGAGGCAGTTGACCTAAGTGGAGAACTGAAAACTGTGGAGCAGGGAGTACATTGAGAGGGAAGTCACTCAGTTTTGAAGTTCCTTAAAATAACTAACAGGATAACTTTAAAAAAAATTACTGATAGATTAAATATTGATTTATTTCTATATTTTTAGGATAAATTGTTGAAACATTAATTTGTATCTGTCCAGTGCATTTTCCCCTTTCCCACTGAAATTCATATGTAAATTCCAAGTAGATAGATAGGGTCATGGGATTTGCTCCTTTAACTAATTTTGCCAGGTAAAAAGTAGAAGTCAAGCTTTTCCTTAGTAAAGATGCAACAGTTGGGGGATGGTTAGATTTCTTGGACAGGGTGGAATTCTGAGATCAGATGGAGCCAGAAGGAACCTTCTTGCTGATGTGTCTCAGTAAAATCCTAGGAATATGACAAGATTCCAAAGAGGCTGGCTGTGTGATGACCACAGAGACTATGCAGGCTGATGACCAAAGGTTCCCTTCCACCTACTGTACCCCTCCTTCAAACTTGATACTACATGGTTCAGGGCAGATAGGGGAGCTATGGAGATTGAATTTCTTGCCAACCAAGTGGAATAGAGGCTCAGAATTGAATTCTGTAAGAAAAAGTTTAATGCTTTATTCTTTGCATGCCTGAATTTATAAACTGAAATTCATATCAAAGATAATACTTAAAACTAGGATATGCTTGAAAGATCTAGGGATATATTCGATTCATATCCAGTGCCTCTATTTGGATCCTTTTACTCTGTCTTATTTTAAATATGCAAACATTCATTTGCATGTTTATCTTCCCAATCAAATTTTAAGCTTCTTAAAAGCAGGAACTATGTCGTCTTCATTTCTGTGCTCAGAATAAATGGCTCAATAACTACTAGGACTGAACTCAGGTTTAAATTTTCCAGTTTCCCAAACTGGATAGACAGTTTGATCAGGACTGGGTATAATAAAATTATCATCTCAAACTTTCTTCACATTCTTCCCTTATTGTATTATAAATGTTATTACTAGATTGACTACCTCCTACAATATTTTAAGAATTATCAAAATATCTCAGGGTAAATAAGATAGTAGTGCCTCAAAGCTAACAATAAAAACATGAATGATTCTGACCTGAAGTATCAATTGGGTCAAGGGTAAATTCTTCCTCTTCTTTTGTTACTGTAGTTTCATCCATTTTTTCATTTTCAGGTGAACACACACACTTTGGATTATCTGATTCTACTCATCAACATTGCCATAAAAGGATTTATTAAAAAAATAATGATTATGTTGCAAACTAGAAGACTATATGAGAATTAAAGTGAAAGATTAACTGTAGATTTATATTGCTAACTGGAGCCACAAATGCATTTTTAGAATCATGTATTTAATAGAGTTGAAGAGGTTCAGAGATTATATAGTCTGGGACCCACAGTGTCCAGGTGGGTCAAATATTAATCACCCATTTTTGAGCCTGTGACATCTAAGGCTAGGCTACAGTCATGGCAGAAGTAAAAACAGTGGTAGGAACCACAATAAATGACTGACATAAATTTGACAATATGTCTGCTAAAAATTGTATTCTGTTAATGATTATATGACCCAAAAGAATCGTACATAACTAAATTTTTATTGCCCATCTCTTTTTATTTTAAATTTATACTACCGTGTTAGAAAGCAAATGCAACATGCAAAAGTGAAAAATCAAAATGGGGCTAATCATTTTTTTATTTCTTAAGAAAAATCAGACTACAAAGACTTCAAATCATCTGAAGTACTTTCACAATCAATTTCAAGTAGAAAATATCCCCATATTTGTGATTTCTATAACACTGTATGTAGATCATCAATCCATGTTAATATTAATGTGGTATTAATGTTAATAACAATGTTAATGTCAAACATTAATGATACTTTTTACTATGTAACATATTATTTTAATGATTCAAAAGCAGGATATTTTGCCAGAGTATTTAAATATGCTCTCATAACAAATAAACCCAATCCTGATTAAACACCCATCATTGTACTTTTCTCAAAACTTTTCTCAAAATTTTCTATGCTCTATTGTCGAAGTCATGCTAAGAGTTTGAGGGACAACTCTCTTTAATATCTTTCACTATACTATACTTCTACTTAAACCTAGAAGTTTTGAGGCTTAATTTGAATATTAATATCTATTCACTTTCTACACAAAAGAAAATTCCTACATACCCACTACAGTATTAGTAGGCTCAGGAAGCAGGGAAATTTCTATATTTAAATGCATTTCTTCTGACAGGATATTCTGATCATCTTGCAGTAGATTGTCTTGAAAACAAAATAAACACTTTTCTTATACAGAGCTGAATCTGTCATTCGTTCACTAAACACTTGATAGCTTAGTATGCAATGAGTTGTCAAGGGATATAAAAAAGAGTGAACTCTACCTAATTAGATTTGATTGGTTACATGGACTACCATGGGGCTTCCCTGGTGGCTCAAATGGTAAAGAACCCACCTGCCAATACAGGAGATGTGGGTTTGATCCCTGGGTTGGGAAGCTCCCTTGGAGAGGGAAATGTTAACCAACTCCAGTATTCTTGCCTGGGAAATCCCATGGACAGAGGAGCCTGGTGGGCTATAGTCCATGGGGTCACAAAAGAGTCAGACATGACTGAGCGATTAAACAACAACCTAGACTACCATATTTCATGCAGTAGGACATAAAATTTTATATATTTAATTTCCTTTCCTTTATTAAACATGTATTTTTAAGTGTTTAATGTCAGAAAATATTTACCAAACTACCAAGATAGTAGCCTTTGTTACAAAGCCATGTTTAGACTTCAAATCAAGAAATAAAAGTTCTCAAAGTCCTTTAGTAGAGATCTAAGGTAGAGCCACTATTTTTCACAGTTTTCAAATTTCATTAAGTTTGCCATAACCAACCTTTTATTGTAAATTAGATAATTAAAAAAAGATGTGATATATAAAGGTCAGTATCATTATAATTAGGTGCATTTAGACTTCCCAGTTTTGTCTATCCTATTTCTCTGATTACTTTACAGTAAGATCATAATAAAATAATAATATAAAATGCTAGACAGATCCTTTAGACTAGCCGTCCCACAATTTTTGCTAAAGAAAACAATGTTTCTAGCATACGATCTAATATATTTTGTGAGGAGTATACTAACCTCACTTCTTTCTCTCTAGAAACTAGAAATTTGTAGAAAGAAAAACAAGAACCTATGTGATAAATGTATTTCACCACCTATATAATAAATATGTCAAAGATGGCTATTTACTTAGATCTAGCCTAAATGTTTAAATATACTATAGACTTTGAAAACTTATGTAAAAAATATTTTAATCTATATGACACAGAAGCATATCTGAAATTTCTGTTTGTTGGAATAAATCTTGCAGTTTGTTATAGTAATTTGACTGAAACAAATATCCAGTTTCTGTATGACCAGAGAGCATACCAATCATTTCTCCTGCAGCTCCTTCATCTCCAAATCCATCTCCACTGCCACAGAACAGAGATTTTTCTCCAATGGGGCTTTCAGAACTATGTTCAAGTAAAAGACCACTGGAACTCAGCAATATGTTGTCATCAAATAAGCTATGTCTTCTGAGAATTTCAGGTTCCTCCCCTAAATAAATACATATCATTAATACTGAGTTAGTCATAGAAACACAAAATTTTAAGGTTAGAAGCTAGAATTTAGATATCATCTTGTATAGCTCACCTCATTTTATAGATGAGAAAAATGAGATCTAAAAATTTACTTGAATTATTCAAAGAAGACAAACAGATGGCCAGTAGGCACACAAAAAGATTCTCAACATCAATAATTATTATAGAAATGAAAATCAAAACTACAATGAGGTACCACCTCACACTGTCAGAATGGCTGTCATTAAAAAGTCTACAAATACTAACATATGTAAAATGAATGGCTAGTGAGAAGGTGTTGTACAACGCAAGGAGTCCAGCCTGGCACTCTGTGATGACCTATAGGAGTGGGATGGGTGGGGGAGAGGGAGGCTCAAGATGGAGGGGATATATGTCTACTTTGCCTGATTTGTGTTGTTGTACAGGGACTTCCCTGGTGGCTCAGATGGCAAAGACTCTGCCTGCAATGCATGAGACCCGGGTTTGATCCCTGAGTCGGAAAGATCCCCTGGAGAAGGGAACGGCTACCCACTCCAGTATTCTGGCCTGGAGAATTCCATGGACTGTATAGTCCATGGGGTCGCAAAGAGTCGGACATGATTGAGTGACTTTCACTTCACTTCACATCACCACCAACCCTTGCAGCCCTGGTGTCCTCATTTGTAACCAGGTGTTTAGTGGCCTGAGACTCTGAGCTCAGATAATCAGACTTTCATTTCCAGCGGCCCTACCTTGAACAAGTGCTTCAACAACCATATCAACTTCCTAGAGGTGCTGTGGGGATGAAAGCAGACAGTTATTGTGGAAGTTCAGGGCAGTGCCCACACACTGTCAGCACCATTCCAAAAGGCTCCCTGGGACTTCCCTGGTGGTCCGGTGGCTAGGACTCCATGTGCACAATGCAAGGGGCCTGGTTGGGCCATCCCTGAGTGAGGAACTAAATTCTGCATGCTGCAAATAAGACCCAGAGCAGCCAAATAAATAAATATTTACAAAATGCTCCTTGGAACCCTGGTTCAGCCACTTACTAGCACCATGACCTTGGAGAAAATCACTTAAACCTCATTGTGCATAAAAATCTGTGCTTGAGTTTTGACAAACTCTTGGGAAGCATTTTCTTCCTCCTGCTGGTTGTGGATGCATTTTCCCTGCAAAAAGTTGTTAAGATGCTTGAAGAAGTGGTGGTTGGTTGGTGAGAGGTCAGGTGATTATGCTGTATGAGGCAAAACTTAATAAAGCTTTTGTTTAATTTTTGAAGTGTTGGTTGTGTGATATGCGGTCGGGCATTGTTGTGAGAATAACTGAGCCCTTTCTGTTGACCAATGCCAGCTGTATGTGTTGAAGTTTTCAGTGCATCTCGTTTTTTTACTGAGCATACTTCTCAGATGTAATGGTTTCACCAGGATACAGAAAGCTGTGGCAGCAGGCCACCAAACAGTGACCATGACCTTTTTATGATGCAAGTTTGACTTTGGGAAGTGCTTTGGCGCTTCTTCTTGGTCCAACCACTGAGCTAGTCATTGCCGGTTGTTGTATAAAATCCACTTTTCATCACATGTCACAATCTGATATAGAAATGGTTCCTTCTTGCACAGACTAAGAGAAGATGACACTTCAAAATGACGATTTTTTTGATTTTCAGTCAACTCATGAGGTACCAAGTTCATGAGGTACCCATTTACTGAGGTTTTCACCTTTCCAATTTTCTCCAAATGCCAAATGACCATAGAACGGTCAACACTGAGTTCTTTGGCAACTTTTCACGTAGTTGTATGAAGATCAGCTTCAATGATTCTCTCAATTGTTGTTCAATTGCTTAGCTGTGTCCAGCCCTTTGTGACCCCATGAACTGCAGCATGGCCAGGCTTCCCTGTCCTTCACTATGTCCCAGAGTTTGCTCAAACTCATGTCCATTGATTTGATGAAGCCATCCAACCATCTCATCCTCTGTTGCCCCCTTCTCCTTCCCTCAATCTTTCCCAGCATCAGGATCTTTCCCAATGAGTCGGCTCTTTGCATCAAGCGGCCAAAGTATTGGAGCTTCAGCTTCAGCATTCTCTCAGTTGGTCACTGTCAACTTCCAATGGCCAGCTTCTACACTTCCCATCTTCACCTCATCTCATCTCCTCTGCAAAATTTCTTGAACTATCATTGCCCTGTACATTCATTAGCAGTTCCTAGGCCAAACATGTTGTTGATGTTGTGAGCTGTCTCTATCGATTTACAACCCATTTTGAACTCAAATAAGAAAATTGCTCTAATTTGCTTTTTCTGTCTAACATCATTTCCCTAGTCTAAAATAAATATAAAATAAACAGCAAGTAATAAGTCATTAGCAAGAAAAAAACACAAAGTAAGAAATGAGCATTAAAATGATGTATAACATAACCACATTTATTTAAGAATATATTCCAATGTCAAACAGCAAAGTTCAACAACACACAACTGCAATTACTTTCACACCAACCTAATATTCAGCCATTAAAAAAGAACAAAATAATGCCATTTGTGGCCACATGAGTGCAACTAGAGACTATCATACTAAGTGAAGTAAGTCAGAAAAAGAAAGACGTATGCCATATGATGTCACTTGTATGTGGAATCTAAAATATGGCTCAAATGAATATACCTACAACACAAAAATAGACTCACAAACATAGAGATCAGACTTGTGGTTGCCAAGGGAAGAGAGAAGGAGAGGGATAGACTGGGAATTTGGGGTTGGTAGACGCAAACTATTACATTTAGAATGGATAAACGACAAAGTCCTGCTGTATAGCACAGGGAACTACATCCAATCTCCTGGGGTTAAACCATAATGGAAAAGAATATTAAAAAAAAAAAAAAGAGGTATATATGCATAAGGGCTTACCAGGTGGCTCAGTGGTAAAGAATCCACCTGCAATGCAGGAGATGTAGATTTGATCCCTGGGTCAGGAAGATACCCTGGAGAAGGAAATGGCAACCCACTCCAGAATTCTTGCCTGAGAAATCCCATGGACAGAGGAGCCTGGCAGGCTACAGTCCATGTGGGGTGCAAAAGAGTCAGACATGACTTAGCGACTAAACAACAAAAGTTTATATGTGTAAAACTGAGTCACTTTGCTATACAGCAGAGATTGGCACAACACTATAAATCAACTATACTTCAATAAAAAAGAAAAAGAGAAAAACTTATTTGAATTATTCAAGTAAATTCATTCTGCTAATCAGTAAAGACCGGATTTCTAGTCTAATGTTTTTCCCAATACAATGAGGAAAAACTGCCAAAATACTAGGATTGAGTTTTTAGTGGTGATACAATTTAATAACTTCCCAGAAAATTATTATTGGCAGTAGAATTATTTATTCTACCCTAGGTGGGTCATATCCTGCTTGATCGGAGAAGGCAATGGCAACCCACTCCAGTACTCTTGCCTGGAAAATCCCATGGACAGAGAAGCCTGGTGGGCTGCCGTCCATGGGGTTGCTAAGAGTCGGACACGACTGAAGCGACTTAGCAGCAGCAGCAGCAGCATCCTGCTTGATCAAGTATTATTTCATATTATTTCAAGGACATTAGAGCTTCAGTTGTTTGAGTTGTTAGTCCAAAATGAGGGTTTGGAATATAAGGAGTATGTTTGCCTTCTATATAATGGAAAAGTAGGTAGAATATTAAAGAATGGGTTTACAACATTGTTTAGTATTTATTGAATGACTAAGTAAGTAAGTGGTAGTCGCTCAGTTGTGCCTGACTCTTTGCGACCCCATGGACTGCAGCCCACCAGGCTCCTCTGTCCATGAGATTTTCCAGGCAAGGATACTGGAGTGGGTTGCCATTTCCTTCTCCAGGGGATCTTCCAAACCCAGGGATTGAACGCAGGTCTCCTGCACTGCAGGCAGATTCTTTACCAACTGAGCTACAAGGGAAGCCCATTGAACGACTAGGTATTAGGCAATGTGCTAGGGGTTGGAGACACAGCAATAAGAAAGACAAAATCTGGTCAGCTGAGACTTCCCTGGTGGTCCAGTGGTTAAGAATTTTCCTGCCAGTGCTGGGGACATGGGTTCAATCCCTGGTACAGGAAGATCCCACATGCTGCGGAGCAACTAAGCCAAGCACCACAACTACTGAAGCCTGCATTCCCTAGAGCCCGTGCTCCACAAGAGAAGCCATCACAGTAAGAAGGCTGTTCACCTCAACGAAGAGTAGCCCCCGCTTGCTGTAACTAGAGAAAGCCTGCACGGCAACGAAGACCCAGTGCAGCCAAAAATAAATAAATGAGTAAATGTGTGTATGTGTCCAACTCTTTGCTACCCTGTGAACCCGCAGCCCTCCAGGTTCCTTTGTCCATGGGATTTTCATGACAAGAATACTGTAGTGAGGTTGGATGCATGAGACAAGTGCTCGGGCCTGGTGCACTGGGAAGACCCAGAGGGATCGGGTAGAGAGGGAGGTGGGAGCGGGGATCAGGATGGGGAATACATGTAAATCCATGGCTGATTCATGTCAGTGTATGACAAAACCCACTACAATATTGTAATGTAATTAACCTCCAGCTAATAAAAATAAATGGAAAAAAAAAGAATACTGGAGTGGGTTGCCATGCCCTCCTCCTGGGAATCTTCCCAACCCAGGGAACAAATTCTCCGATTCTCCTGCGTCTCCTGCATTGCAGATGGATTCTTTACCACTGAGCCACTGGGGAAGCCCAAATAAGTAAATAAATCTTAAAAAAGAACACCTGGTAAGCTAAGATAAACTGAGTGTTTATTATGTGCATGCATTATATTATGTAGTAGAGAATACTATTACAGTCCTCAGTGCAGACAAGGAAACATCCACAGAAAGGTTTTATAACTTGCCTACAGTCATATCCTAATAAGTGATAGAGCCAGGATCTTAACCCAGCAAAGATAGTCTTTGTATCAGTGTTAGAATTCTGCCAAAATGGAGACTTACGACAGAAAACTCCTAAGACACTGACAGCAGCAGATAAAATGAACTCCCTGCTTCAAACAGACCTGCTTCCAGATTGGCTGTCAGTACCTGCATATCCCTTTCTTGGATTTGAGTCTCTTGGTCCAGAAGTCTAAACCTCAAAGATGAGAGTCTAGCAGTCTGAAATACTAGAGGTTAGAGATTGGTCCTCTCTTCCCTTCATCTAACAACCCATGTTAATGCTAATCGGTAAAGAAAATCATGAAGTATCACTGGAAGACCTACATTTCTTCTAGAAAAAAAGAGCTAAAAAAGGCAACTTTGACTGCACTGAACTAAAGATTTGCTCAATAGAAGAGATTAATTTTTCCAAAGAACTAAAAATATTGTTTTCATCTTCCAGGTGCACCTTGATAGCCTCCAAAAGAAAAATTGGTCTTGGTCAATACAACAATAACATTTATGAACAGTACCATATTCTGAGCACTGAGCATCATGAGAACCTGAGATTAAACCAAAAAATTAAGGAAACAGTCTTGGTTTCACTTTTATTTTATAATCCAGAATAGGATGAAATAATATTAAACATCTCTTAGAGGACATTAGGTTTGAGCTAGTGTTTGAAGGAGAGAAAAGTTCCTTATTGGTAGAAAGTACTGAAGGAGAAAATATGGGAAATAACTCTGTGATGTTGCTAGCAATATCCCAATTTTACGAATAGGGCAGTAAGGCTCAGATGAGCTAGGTGATCTGCCCAATATCACACAGCAAGTTAACAGAGGAAGCTCAGATTCAAACCCAGGTCTGTCAGTCTACTCTGCACATATTCTTCCCACCTTCTTGAACTGTAGAGGAAGACAGAACTGAGAACAATTAAACTGTGTCGGGTGACTGGTAAGACATTTGCTTGACTGGAGCAAAAAGTCTGTATTAAGGTAAAACAAAGTTAATAGAATAAAGATGATGATAAACTGGTAGAGTGCCTTGAGGATAGGCAGAAGTGTCTATTAGTTAGTTATAGGGACCCAAGGCACTTAAGAGGAATGTGACATGGAAAAAAAATGGAATTTAAGGACAATTGCTCTTGCACAGATGTATAAAATGTGAGAAGAGACTGAGAGACATGTCCAACTTTAAAAAAAAAAATGGACACTGGAATGAAGCTTAGCGAAAGCATAATTAAAAGTGATCCTAAAGCATCAGGGCTGAAGAGCATTTACAGGGAAATGTACATAGAGTGCCTTGGGCAGTAAGAACTATGATTAACTCTACCAATGTGTTAGATCTCAAGGTCTGGGGTAACAGCCAATAAGAGATGTGTGCTACTCGAAGTAGGGTCTGTGGACAGTGATGATCCACAACAGAGTAAATACACAAATTAGAGGTAAATGTTTACAAAGTTTTAACATAATGTCATAGAGTAATTTTATACATGTTGGATCTAATAACAAAAACATAAGGCTTATATGTTGATCTAAAAATTTTTAATTTTTCTAGCAATTCATTTTTATTATATTTTACAAAAGTATCACTCCATGACAGATCGGAAATTGACAAAGTATAAAGTTGGTCCTTCACCATAGCTCATTTGAGAAACACTGCTATAGATCATAAGAGTTATGGAAGAAGAGTCAGGATGAAAAGTGGAGGTTACGATGTAGCTCAGACATTACTATCCTGACCACCCTCCTTCATCTAAGACAGGTTTAGGCCATCCTTCTCCTATGCTCACTGCTTTGCGCATTAAGAAAATTGAAGATGAATATGACACAGATCTTACCCTCATGAAGTTTTCAGAATAATACAGACCAATACAATAAATGTCATGATACAAGTACATGTTAACTATAACAACTGTTATAGTTGTTCTCTCCCAGCCTGAAGTTCCTTGAAGGCAAGAAATGCTTCTTTAAACTCTGCATTGCCCATCCTGTGACAGTATCTGACATATAGTAGATACTCAATAAATGGTTGTACACTGAGAAGGGAAATATAGGCTAAGAGTGAGTCTTAGCATTTGACACCTATAGTAGAAAAAGGCAAAGATAAACTCACTGCACGGGTTAAATTCATATATCAAAAATTCATTCTACAGATATTTCTTCTGGCATAGAAATAGCTTTGGTGTTGTTTTATTTATACAACAAAAATAAAAATATAACTGATTATGACTTGTAGCTTTAATTTCTCAAATGTTCTCACCAAAGCTTCCAGCGTGGAAAAGTAGATCATTGCCATAATCTTCTCTAAGTGTGATTTCTTCTGGTTTGCTTTGGTTCTGAATACAGCATTCTGAAACATCAATAACACTATGGAGAAATACAAGATTGAGGGAAACATGTGAACAGAACACAGTGATTTTGCAGTATACTGAGAAACAAACAAAATCCTTTAAAAAACAGGTTTTATTACAAAAATAAAGGAGAATTTGCTCAATAGTATTACTTATAAACATTAGTTTATTATACATGCATATCATCTTCAGGTTGTCAAATCCAACCAGTATTTCTCAATCCTCATTTTACTCACCATAATCAACAGCATTTGAAATAGATGTTCACACCCTTCCTCATGGAACACTTTCTCCTCTTAACCTCTGCAATAACTACTGACCTCTACCACACTACTGTATCTTGATTTTCTTTCTGCCTCATTGGTTGCTCCTTTTCCATATCCTTTATTAGTTCTTCCTCATCTCCCAGACTATTAACTAATAGGAATGACTCAATATTCAGTCTTCAGATCGCTCTCATCCCCCCACTTTCTCTCCTTTCTTCCCCTCTCTTGAAAATCTACACTTATTCCTTTAGGGATCTCTTATGACTTATGGTTAAAGTTCCATCTACATATTGAGAGAGTCAATTCCTAGGCAGGTTGATAGGAAGTCTAGGTTCCCAGAAGAGGAGAAAGGGGTCTGAAGCTCTCAAGGAGGAGATAGGGGTTTGGAACTCTCAAGGAGGAGGAAAGGACAAACTTTTTTTCCTCTACATTCTTTAGTCTTAGTCACATAAAATGTTTTTTCCTTTAAGCCGGAAACTGATGATTACAAAACAAACAAGTCAGTTTAAACTCTGTACTAGCGGATAATCGAGAAAGCAAGAGAGTTCCAGAAAAACATCTACTTCTGCTTTATTGACTATGCCAGAGCCTTCGACTGTGTGGATCGCAATAAACTGTGGAAAATTCTGAAGGAGATGGGAATACCAGACCACCTGACCTGCCTCTTGAGAAACCTGTATGCAGGTCAGGAAGCAACAGTTAGAACTGGACATGGAACAACAGACTGGTTCCAAATAGGAAAAGGAGTACGTCAAGGCTGTATGTCGTCACCCTGCTTATTTAACTTATATGCAGAGTACATCATGAGAAATGCTGGGCTGGAAGAAGCACAAGCTGGAATCAAGATTGCCAGGAGAAATATCAATAACCTCAGATATGCAGATGATACCACCCTTATGACAGAAAGTGAAGAGGAACTAAAAGGCCTCTTGATGAAAGTGAAAGAGGAGAGTGAAAAAGTTGGCTTAAAGCTCAACATTCAGAAAATTAAGATCATGGCATCTGGTCCCATCACTTCATGGCAAATAGGTGGGGAGACAGTGGAAACAGTGTCAGACTTTATTTTTTGGGGCTCCACAATCACTGCAGATGGTGATTGCAGCCATGAAATTAAGACGCTTAGTCCTTGGAAGGAAAGTTATGACCGACCTAGATAGCATATTAAAAAGCAGAGACATTACTTTGCCAACAAAGGTCTGTCTGGTCAAGGCTGTGGTTTTTCCAGTAGTCATGTATGGATGTGAGAGTTGGACTGTGAAGAAAGCTGAGTGCCGAAGAATTGATGCTTTTGAACTGTGGTGTTGGAGAAGACTCTTGAGAGTCCCTTGGACTGCAAAGAGATCCAACCAGTTCATCCTGAAGGAGATCAGTCCTGGGTGTTCATTGGAAGGACTGATGCTGAAGCTGAAACTCCAATATTTTGGCCACCTCATGCGAAGAGTTGACTCATTGGAAAAGACCCTGATGCTTGGAGGGATTGGGGGCAGGAGGAGAAGGGGACGACAGAGGATGAGATGGCTGGATGGCATCATCGACTCGATGAGCATGAGTTTGAGTAAACTCCGGGAGTTTGTGATGGACAGGGAGGCCTGGCGTGCTGCGATTCATGGGGTCACAAAAGAGTCGGACACGACTGAGCGACTGAACTGAACTAGGTATTATATAACAACAATGTACCCTGCATAAGGACAGTTTCTCCTTCCTGAAAACCTTCTGACTAATCATGATATCTTAAAACGTAAATTATGGAAGTGGATCTAGTAGGATCTTTCTATTGTTAAATTCTGATCCTGTTTTCCTAAAGTGTAAATTGTAGGAGTGGGTCTGGTAAAATTTTTACAAACTTGACACATTCTTTTGATTTATTATAATAACTAATTAAAAAGTATATACTTCCCTTGTTGAAGACTAGTGAGTGGGGCATTCTCAGCCCCCTTCTGATGTCTATGTCAGAAGGTTTCTCTGTCCCTTTTCACTTTAATAAAACTCTGCTATACAAAAGCTCTTGAGTGATCAAGCGTGGTCCCTAGTCCCGGAAGCTAAATCTTCTTCTTTGGAGAGCACAAATCTGATACTGTTCACCGTAAGTTATCAATACTCACAACTCTCAAATTTATGTATCCCATCAAATTTATATATCCCATCAAACATCTTTCCTGAATTTCAGACCCACATATTCGACTACCTACCTGCTCCCTTGGATGTATAACAGCCATCTCAAAACTTATGTCCCAAACCTAATTTACTTTCCTTCACCTTGCCCCTTTAAGCTTGCCATTCTCTAGTTATCCTAATTTTATTAAACTGGTAACTCCATTCTCACACCATAAATCATACAGTCAACCTCACCTCTTTCTTTCTCTTAAAGCCATATCCAATCCTTAGCAAACACCATCTGGGTAAAATGAAGACTAAAAACTGATCACAGAGACTGCTATTTCTCATCTGATTTCTTACAGCAATAATTTTTTCACAGGCTCTCTGCTTCCTCCCTTTCCCCCTTTTAGTAAGTAGCCAGAGGGAAGCATGTTGAAGTCAAGTCAGATCCAGTCACTTAACCTGTTCAAAACCCTCCTGTGCACCCCATCTGAGTAAAAGAAAAGTCCTTGTTATAGCCTACAACACCCTCTGACATCTGCACCCCAGCTACTTCTCTGACCTCATATCCTACCACTTGGGCCTTTCACTTACTCCACTCCAGACTCACTTGCCTCCTTGCTATTCTTTGAACAGATCCAACACGCTCTGCCTTAGAGTTTTTTTCATATGATTTACGTGGAACTTTCTTCCCCACATTACTGAATAATTTATTCCTTCATTTCTTTCAGGTTTCTGTTCAGAGCTTATCAGTAAAGCCTTTCTTGACCTTTCTGATACTTTATTTTCTACTTCTCTCCATAATGTTGATCATCTCCTAGTATATTGTGTATTTACTTGTTCGTCTTATTATCTGTCTCTCCCCAACTAAAACACAAGATTCGTGTAACCAGGAAGAGTGTTTTATTCATTGTTACCTCCTCAGTGCCTGTAACAGTGCTTGGCATATGGAAGGCACTCAACAAATACTGAATGAATGACTGTACTGTCAATATTGCAAACTATATTCAGCAAACATAATGATACATTTTTGGTGTTCTTCTTTGAAATTTCGCACTAAATATAAGTCTTTGTCAACTACATGAGTAATTCAGCTATTAACTATGTTCTATTTGTGTTCGTGAAATCTGAAAATGTAAGCAATAAACTACCAGGAAAATCAAATTGAAGGAAAAGAAATAAAATAATTTACTTCATAGTCTGGGTGTCAAAATCATGAAATTCTTCAGGCAATGTGATAGCACTGTATGCTGCTTCAAAACTCTCCTTTGGAAGGTCAACCAATCCTGAAAACGATAAAAAAAAAAAAAATGAAACAAAACTCCCCCCACATTCAATAAACTAAATCTCTACTTCCTCTCACTGGACTGTTTAGTCTCCTAACTTGTTTCCCTGTAATCTGCTCCTACCTCTCTTCAGTCTATTCTCTACAAAACAGCCAGAGTGATATATTAAATATGCAATTAGGTCAGATCACCCTCAAACTTAAAATGACCCAGTGACTTCCCTAGTACACTTAAATAAAATTTAAATTTCTAATCAGGGCCCTGCACCCCTACAAAACCTATAGGCATCATCTAACAACACTTTGCCTTACTCACTCTACTCGAAACGTACTGGTCTTTTTGCTCTCTGAATGAGTCAAGCACCTTACTACCTCAAGACCTTTGCTCTTGCAGTTCCCTCTGCCCAGAATTCTATTCCTTTAGGGATGTCTTACATGGCTGGATACTTCTCATTCTTCAAGTCTAAGCTTAAATTCTATCCACTCAGAAAGGCTTTTCCAAACTTGCCTAACTAAAATACATGTCTGTTATTTTCTGTGGTAGTACTCTTTTCATATTCCTTCTTAGCACAATCTATAATTATTATAATAATTTAAAAAATATCTTTTTCATCATCTGATTTCCTCACTAGGCCAAAAGGGACTTTGTCTTGCTTGTCTTGTAACCAGAGCCTAACATAGTGTTTCACACAAAGTATGAGCTCAATAAATATTTATGGAATATATAAGTGAACCACAACTATCTAGAAATCTTACAAATATTTTAAATAAGGAAAAAAAAACCTTGTCAATATTGATTCACCAGTACTAATTGAGGGAACACTATTTACATGGGACTGAGACAAGTACTGTAAGTGATTCAGAAAATAAATATCACAAAGATATTGCCTGCAAGGAGCTTGCAGACTGGTGTGAGAGGAAAGGTTTGTACCTAAATAAACATAATACAAGGTGGAAAATGATGAAAGTCATAAAATTAAAATTAAATTAAAAATTTATGAAGACATTCTGACACATGTAAATCTCTAGCACTTTGGAATGCCTAGAGATTTTCTATAATATTTCATAAATAGTGTGCTACTTAAGAGTCTCCAGAATTCTGAAAACAATGACAATTATTGATATATAGGTTCTGTCAATACATTATTTCTAATTTATCTCATAAAGGCAAAAACAGACATGGCAAACAAAGAAACCCATTAAAACTGGATGTCAGAGTTTCTTATACAACTGTGGTAGCTTTAAATACATTTCTTATGTAAATATGCAAGAACATTTCAAGTTTTTGAAAGTATAACCTCTTGCCCCAAACACAGTAAAAGAGCAAGGAAAATAATATAATTTGTTCTTAACCGTAGAAACTAAGTTCCACTCAAAAGGAAGTTTTCCATTCATTATACCCACCCTGGAATTATAAAGTATCAACAATTAAAAGATCCCACCCAAACTAAAAATGCAAAAGGGAAAAAAAACAAGTGAGACAAATCAATATCACACTTATACCTGGGCGAAATGTCATCTTCATTTTAAGCAAGGCTTCACTGCAATCTGCCAAAAGATATTTTGCCTTCCTATTATAGATTCGAACAACTCCCAAAAGAAGGTGTCCGGAAGTTCGCAGTGCAATTTTCACCTTTCAATAATTTTTAAAGTATTAGAATATTAAAAATTAGATTTATAAACTCTGTTCTTTGAAAATTATAAAATCATAAGAATTTCTTCTCTTTAAAAAGCAGATGTTCTTATTTATTGTATTTTATTGTATTGTATGTATCTTATTATTGTATTCTTATTTAAAGTAAATCATTTAACTTTTACCTCACCTTGTAAAATGATTAACTTTTTAATTTAGTGAAGATAATCTAATGTGGCATTTAAATGAAATATGCTATTGTTGATTTTATGAAAACAACATAAACTTTGCAGTCAGGCAGACTTGGGTTCAAGCCTTGGTTCAGTTGCTGAGGCTAAGTCATTTAACCTTCCTGAACTTCAATTTATTAATCATGACTACAATTTATTATACACTTGTTTTGTGTCCTAAGAGCTTTTCATACATTAATTTATTTAATTTTGACAACAACCTCTATTTACAGAAGAAAACACTGAGACTCAGACGTGATAAACAGCATACCTAAGTAACAAAACTATAAAGTGATGAAGCAGAAATTAAATTTGACCAACTCAGAAGTTCATGCTCTTAAATATCACATTCACTGAGGCTAAAAGAAGCCTATCTCATAGGGTTACTGTGAAGATTAAACAAACTAAAAAAAATTAAAGTCTAGCCCAGTGCCAGGCACAAGGTAAGATTTCAATATATAATTGAATATATTATATATTGAAAATTATTAAATATTATATATTGAATATATTAGATATATAATATATAATTCATCCTTCTCTTAACAAGAAAAATACCTAACCTATACAAATATTAAAATAATATTTTAATGCAAATTCTAGTAACTTGTAACTGTTTTATAATGAATATAGTACTTTGTTTAATGATGTTTTCACATATATTTTTATTTATACTCAATCCTTCTTTCCTTATACTCTCCCTATTCATTCACTCATTATTTTTCTAAGAAATATTCACTTGGTATCTACTATGTATATAATATTTTGTTAGCAAATAAGAAACAATCACAAAATAGTTATAAAGCATGGTCTTTATCCTTCAGGATCCAGTCTATTTATGATAAACATATTAAAAAGTTAACTACCAACAGAAACCAATATATGTTTATTTTCAGACAATAAATGCTTAGGAATTAAAAAAAAAGAAGACCATTTGAATAGTAAAACTTCCTAGGAAATACACTGCATGGTATAATGTCTTTTAATTCCTTTACTCTTCATAAGCCAGAGTAAATACATCCTATAATTTTAATCAATAACATACCTTAGGAGAAAGAATTTTTTCAATGGTTATTTCTAGATTACATTCAAATATATGGGCCTTTGTGAGTTTCTTCTCCCAGTGAGCTGCAAGCCAGATTTTGGCCAATGGCCCTCTCTTACTCATAAGCACATGTGTGTAGAACATGTTGTCTGTATTCCTTAGTAATATCTAATGAACTAGAGAGAATATGAAAAGATATTTAAATTTTAATACAAAACATTATTAGTGCTATTTTACAGTAAGCAAAACCATTTCTCATAAATTCTGTAACAGATTAACTTCTAATTCAACACATTATTCAATTCAAATTACTTTCTTGTGAAAAGAAACTGGTTTAAAATACAAAACTATAAACTAATGACAGAACTCTATTAAAACTGTGAATAGCACCTGGTTTAAATGTATTCTGATCACTGAGCACTTCATACATTGTACATATACTATATAAAGGATGTGAATTCTAAGAGCTTGGCAGGCTATAGTCCACAGGGTCGCAGAGTCGAACAGGACTGAAGCAGCTTAGCAGCAGCAGCAGCATAATCAAATAACGGGCTTCCCAGGTGGCACTGGTGATAAAGAACCCGCCTGCAATGCAGGAGGCATAAAAGATGCAGGTTCAATCCCTGGGTTGGGAAGATACCCTGGAGGAGGGCATAGCAACCCAGTCCAGTATTCTTGCCTGGAGAATCCCACAGACAGAGGAGCCTGGCAGGCTACAGTCCATAGGGTCACAAAGAGTCAGACAAGCAACTTAGCACAGACACATTAAATAAATAGAGAAGGAAGACTGGGGGGGGGGGGGTGGGGATAAAAAAAATAGGAAATGGAAATAGGGGGAAAGCAACAGAATAGCAAAAGGTAGAAAAAACTAAGAAAAGCAAACACAGGTAACCACTTTTCTAAAACTTTAGTTTGGGAAGTGTGAGATCATTGATTTATATCCAGGTATTGAATTCCTTTGTTTTCTTTAAGATACTATGGTTTATTCAATGATGTATTAATTTATGAAGTTAAAATAATGGAAATCCAAAGGACCATAAAGTAGAAAAATTAAGAAAACAAGAGACTACAGAAAAAGAATCAGAAGAACAAAAAAGAATCAGATTTAAATGTTTTGAAATAAGAATGGTAAAAGAAAACCTTCACTTGAAGGTAAAAAATTTATGAACATTTCTACAAACTGTACTATTCTCAGTAACATCATAAGGCTTCATTATTAGCAAAGGAATGTCAGGACACCTTGACTGACTGACAAAGAATCAAGTTATTGCTTACATATAAGTAATCTTAACCTGCCACTAGAGAAGCATCTTTTTGCTTCTTTCTTAAAAGTTCCAATAAAAGGGAAAACTGAGCCAAAATAAACACAAAAACAAAATCAGCCACAGAATTAAAAACTCAGGTGATCAATGCCATTTCCACCGCAAGAATCAAATCGTTGGACCTAAAATAAATGTGGTTATGCAATCTACTAAACCACATTTCTCAGTGGGTGGGCTAAAGATTTTAATGAATATGGCCTTTGTCTGCCTTGGCTCCACTGTCTTGCTTTTTAATCTGTGTGTTTGGTATCTTGGAATAAATTCCAGTTTGTCCTTTTCAATTACTCCCAGGTGTATGATTATTAGTAAACTTTAAGAAAAAAAAAACCCTGTGATTTAGTATTCCTGAGACATTGATTTTCTCGAGCCTCCAATCCCCCATACCCCACAAAATCCCGCCCCCTCCCCCGCAAATGCCTCACAAAAGTCCCAATGTCCTGAGAGTTATTTGTAGGTTGAATTGAGTTCATGAACCTATAGCTAGGTAAAGAAAAGAGTTAGTCACTCAGTCGTGTCCGACTCTTTACGACTCCATGGACAGTAGCCCTCCAGGCTCCTCTGCCCATGGAATTTTCCAGGCACGAATACCAGCATGGGTTGCCATTTCCTTCTCCAGGCAATCTTCCCGACAAAGGGATCGAACCCGGGTCTCCCACCTTGCAGGCAGATTCTTCACTGTCTCAGCGACCAGGGAAGCCCAACGTACAGGTAAGGATAGTATGGTAGTAGAAGCCAGGGAGTGGGCTTAATTCATGGGAAGGGATCCCTGGTGAGGAGTGAGGGCGGTGGGCGAAGGGGAGATTCAGGGGAGGATAAAGGGGCAGAAAGTGGACGCTCGGGGAGGTGGGGGAAGAGCCACGGGGGGTACTCCTTCCGGGGAGAGGGAAGGAGGGAGGGGACAGGAATGGAAGGCGCTAGGGTTGGGTGGGGGGTGGGGGTGTGAGGAGAAGACAACGAGCATCCAGGACACGAAAGTCTAGGGCTTCCTCCACACACGATTCCTCAGAGTTGAAGGCCCGAGGCTCAGAGGGAGACACTGAGGCTGAGGGGTGACTCCAAGCGCCCGTTTCCTCTCCTCAGAGGGTACCTCAGGGCTCGCGCCAGTGAGGAGCCTGGCAAGGCCACTTGTGGGGATGAAGGTGGCCGTGGCCCCCGTGACCCAGTCAGCCTCCAGTCCCCGGATCCCACCCAGCGCCCTACTTCCAGCGCCGGGTCTGAGGCGAGATGAGCCGAAGCAGCGGCTGGAGGAGGAGTCGACCGGTCTGCGAGGTGAGTCCTAAACGCTCAGCTCCCAGACCAGGTAGGCTTCAGGGAGGGCGCGGCAGGGCGATGGGCGGGGCGGGGCAGGGGGCGGGGCCAATGAGTGACAGGGCCCCAAACTGGAGCGGGGAAAGGGGCGGGGCATCTGGGAACCGGGCGGGGCAGTGGGCAGGAGCAGGCCTGGGGGCAGGGCGGCAGGAGTGAGCAGGGTTACTGGTCAGTCGGCAGGGAGTGGATGAGGCAAAGGGCTGGGCAGGGGACGGAACCGGGGACCCGGGCGGGGATGGAGCGGCAGGGCGTGCAGCATTCCACCTGGGGCTTGCTCGTGGAGCTCACTGTTCAGGTACCTGGTCCCTACAGAATAGTTGTGTTAGGTGGTAATGTCTAGCCCCTCTGCCTGGCCTCTGAACGTCACTAGAATGGAGTCTTCCACTTATGAACGAGGACTCCCTGGAGAAGTTATTTAATCTCTTTAACTTCAGTTTCTCTCACCTGTAAATTGGAAATGATAATGAAAGTACCTGTGCCATGGGATATTGTAAGAGACGAGTGAGATGAAGCATGTAAAAAGCCTAGCAATCATAAATGCTCAGTAAATATTCAGTTCAGTTGCTCAGTCGTGTCCGACTCTTTGCGACTCCATGGACTGCAGCACGCCAGGCCTCCCTGTCCATCACCAACATCCAGAGCTTACTCAAACTCCTGCCCATTGAGTCGGTGATGCCATCCAACCATCTCATCCTCTGTCCTCCCCTTCTCCTCCCGCCTTCAATCTTTTCCAGCATCAGGGTCTTTTCCAACGAGTCAGTTCTTCGCATCAGGTGGCCAAAGTATTGGAGTTTAAGCCTCAGCATCAATCCTTCCAATGAACATTCAGGACTGATTTCTTTTAGGATGGACTGGCTGGATCTCCTTGCAGTCCAAGGGACTCTCAAGAGTCTACTCCAACACCACAGTTCAAGGCATCAATTCTTCAGCGCTCAGCTTTCTTTATAGTCTGTCGAGTATGGCTCTACAAGCAGGGTTTCCGGAAGCGTGATGCAGCGGGAGAATAAGAAACAAGACACAAGAGTTCAGTGAAAGGCGAGGATCAGGGGACCAACACCGCTCCAAGGTGAAGGTGCTGAAACTGAATCCGTGCCAGCTTTGTTATACTCTCAGCCATGAGGGAAGGAATGTGCAGGGGGTTAAGCAATAACTCATGTGGCCTTCAGGGCCAAAGAACAAAGTGATCATTAACCTTTGGGTAAACGAGAAACAATAATCAATAACAAATCAGTAACTAATATTCTTATCTATAGATTTCCCCCAGATACGAAAAACATGTGACTCTGAGAGGCCAGTTGGGAAACACTCTGGGGTTGGTTTTCCACCCCCCAGGATCATATCTTGTTTTCAAGATTATGAACTGTTCCCTCTGGACTTGTTCCAAGAGTCCCATGCCTTAAAGCATCCAGTTTACCAATAATCATAAATTCCTTCTGTGGCCCTCGCTGGGGCCTGCTTTTCTTCTATTCTTCCTGTCTCCTACATCTCCCCCTTTTTGATTTTCCACATGATGAGAAATGGTGAGAAATGCTAGTTGCTGTTGTTGGCTTTGTTGTCTCTTGATTGTTCTTCTCCAGACTATGCAGAAACACAAACACATAATTAATAGCATTCCCATAACCAGACCAATTCCATATCCAAATGTTTTGATCTGTTTTAAGGGATTAAGAGAAGAAAGATTATCAGCAACTTATCAAGAAAATCTGATCCAGTAATTATATTGAGATGTTTATTAAAAACTTTTAATATATCTTGTTGTAAGTCTTGAATATCTACAGAAATATTACCTTGGTTCAATAGGTGTTGTTTAACTTTATCCCAATTGAATTGTGTCTTCTTATATTTGTAAGCCGTTACACAAAAGGAAGTATAGTTCCAATCACATTTTAGTCTCATCTGTTTTTATAAACTGACTAGTTGATCTCCTAATAAAATAACAGATTGTTGAAAGTCGGCCACTTGGGAAGCCAACTTTCTGTCAATTTTTTGTTTAGTGGTCCAAAGGATGTCGGCATCTCTATGCCATTCTTGTATAAAATGAACTGTTTGTATAGACTGATGAAAAGCCACTCCAGCTATGGCTGCCATAGGGGTCATAGCTATCTATAATGCCTAAAATGACAGCAATTAGCAATCCCAGAAAATGTTTAATACATTTAAGATTTTACAATATTTCTTCAATAGCATATAATGTAGGGCTTTCTTGCCAAGGTCATTGTAAATCAACTGGAACCCATATGCCAATTCTGGTTTTAAGAATATAAATATTTTGCCAACTTTCATTAAAAGGAATGGCATAATTTATACATGTATAAAATGAACAATTAAGACATGTTATTAATCCCAAATTTGGATCATATTTTGCTGGTACAGTCGTAAAAACAAAAGGAATTCTTACACAAGTTTGAATAGTGTGGGTAGAGTTTTTTGTAAAGTTAAAGGTAGCTTTTGGGTCATTATCCTCCGTTCCAAGCGATTAATTTTTTCAAAGTCATGGGTATGTTCCATATTTCA